TCTGTAATACTATTTTATTTGGAACTCAACTGCAGAAATTTTAATTCCAGTAACTATTAGTTTTACCTCCTTTTGTTACTGATGTGGAGGAGAGGATACTGTAGCTTTAAACCTTCAAGCAGGATGTTAATTGCAAGGAAAAAATAAGCCACTGAAGATTTGCACAAGCCAAACAGTCCCAATTTAGGAATAGTGCAGAGAATGTATGCAGAGTTAGGTTCAGCTTAATTGTGATAGAATAACTGCAAGCAAAATTATCAACGAGGCAAGACAGAATTGCAGCTAGGAATAATTTGATTGTTGGAAGTAGAATTAAGCCTTAGAAGCAGTTCCTTATTTATAACAGAGAGTAACTTGAGAGAATGACACAGTATTGAGCCTTAGAAACAGTCTCTTATTAGTAACAGAGAGTAGCTTGATTGTAGGAACAATTACTTAGCTTAAGAGGCAGTTCTGGAACTGAAGAGCTTAATTAAGTCCAATGGTTGTGAAGAGGGATAGAAGTCCGTTTAGCAAGCCAAGGTCATGGAGTGGAGAAGGAGGGTAGTCGTCCCAGAGCGTTATTCGGTACACGGAAGATCAAAATAGAGCAGCTGGTAAGTTTTACAGACACCTGTGCAATAATCCAGCCCTTTGAATCTGGCGCGGTCTTCCTATGTAGCGTGGAAGGACCGCGTCAGAAAAAAGGGGCGGGGCGAAGCTCCGTGAACCCGGAAGTGGGTTCTTTCGGTGAAAAGCACGGCAGGTATAACCTGACAGTCTCCCAGTGTACCCATGTCTATTTCCACAAGTGCCCTCATGTCTCCCAGTGTCCCCATGCCTCCCAGTGTCTGTGTTCCCATGTCTCAGTGTCCCTAGTACATTAGTGTCCCCAAATGTCTCAGTATCCCCATGTCTCCCAGTGTCTGTGTCCCCATGTTTCCCATTGTCCCCAAGTGTCTCATTACCCCCATGTGTCTCAGTGTCCCTGGGTCTCTGTGTCCCCATGTCTCCCAGCCAGTGTCACCATGTCTCCCAGACAGTGTCTCAGTGTCCCCATGTCTCCCAGTGACCCCACATTTTTCAGTGTCCCCATGTCTGTGTCCACAAGTGCCCCATGCCTCCCAGTGTCCCCATGCATAACAAGCCAGTGTCCCCATGTCTCCCAGTTCCTGTGTCCCTAGTACCTTAGCATCCCCAAATGTCTCTGTCCCCATGTCTCTGTGTCCCTAGTGTCTCAATGTCCCCATGTCTACCAGTGTCCCCAAATGTCTGTGTCCCTAAGTCTCCCAGCCAGTGTCCCCATGTCTGTGTCCCCATGTCTCCCAGTGTTCCCACATTTTTCAGTCTCCCAGTGTACAAATGTCTATTTCCACAAGTGCCCTCATGTCTCCCAGTGTCCCCAAGTGTCTCAGTCTCCCCATGCCTCCCAGCCAGTGTCCCTAGTGTCTGTGTCCCCTAGTCTCCCAGTGTCTGTGTTCCCATGTCTCAATGTCCCTAGTACATTAGTGTCCCCATGTCTCCCAGTGTCTGTGTCCCCATGTTTCCCATTGTCCCCAAGTGTCTGTGTCCCCATGGCTCCCAGTGTCCCTATGGCCCCCAAATGTCTTTGTCCCCATGTCTCTCAGTGTCCACATGTCTCCCAGTGTCCCTATGTCTCCCAGCCAGTGTCTCAGTGTCCCCATGTCTCCCAGTGACCCCACATTTTTCAGTGTCCCCATGTCTCCCAGTGTCCCCATGTCTGTGTCCACAAGTGCCCCCATGTCTCCCAGTGTCCCCTAGCCTCCCAGTGCCTGTGTTCCCATGTCTGTGTCCTTAGCATCCCCAAATGTCTGTGTCCCCATGTCTCTGTGTCCCTAGTGTCTGTGTCCCCATGTCTCCCATTGTCCCCAAGTGTCTCTGTGTTCCCATGTCTGTGTCCTTAGCATCCCCAAATGTCTGTGTCCCCATGTTTCTGTGTCCCTAGTGTCTGTGTCCCCATGTCTCCCATTGTCCCCAAGTGTCTCTGTGTTCCCATGTCTGTGTCCTTAGCATCCCCAAATGTCTGTGTCCCCATGTCTCTGTGGCCCTAGTGTCTGTGTCCCCATGTCTCCCATTGTCCCCAAGTGTCTCTGTGTCCCCGGGTCTCTCAGTGTCCCCTAGTGACACGGGAAACACAGACATGGGGACACAGGGAGAAATGAGGACACAGACACTGGGAGACTAGGGGACTGAGCGACATGGGGACACGGACACTGATACATAGTGACACTGATGCCAGGCTTGCCTTCCAATTCTTTGGACAGACATGCCCCTTTTTGGGCATGTTCACCTCTTTTGGCAGTTCTGGTCACGTGATTCGCGTCAGTGGTCCACCCTTTTACATCGCCCATTGACTTCCTGTTTCACTGGACACTGCTGTTAGGGGGTATGGATTTACTTGAAAGATGAAAGCATAAATTAGAGAGAGATTAGCATAGAGTATGTGTTTTCTTATAGCTGCATCCTTTGAGTTTCCATCCAACATCTCCATTAGATACATGAAGCTTGGGAGGTATGACTGTTATGGTTTTTGGTCGAGAAGATTCTGTAATTAGGCCCCATCATAATTGTCAGCACCAGGCCCACTGGGCTCTTAATCTGGCCCTGTCAGAGGGGATATGATAACATTATACAAATATATTCGGGGCCAGTACAAACCATTATCTGGAAATCTATTCATAAACAGGGCTATACATAGGACACGAGATCACACATTTAGGCTGTAAGAAAAGACATTTCATCGAAGGCAAAGAAAAGTTTTACAGTAAGAGCAATAAGGATATGGAGAGGTGGTTTTATCAGAGTCCATACAGATGGTTAAACAATTGGATAAATACTTGCAAAAACATAACATACAGGGGTATAATTTCTAATTAGTTGGTTAATAGCTGCTTGATCCAAGAAGACATTTGACTGCTATTTTAGGTTCAAGAAAGAATTTTTTTCCTAGTTTGTTGCAAAATTGGAAGCGCTTCAGACTGGGTTTATTGCCTTCTTTTGGATCAACAGCAGAAACATATGTGAGGAAGGCTTATCTTGATGGACGCAAGTCTCTTTTCAGCTATGTAACGATGTAATCAAAGTTAAATTTACAGATCAAGATATAAAATAGTTTAAAGGGATACTCCAGGCACCCAGACCACTTCTGCCCATTGGAGTGGTCTGGGTGCCAACTCCCACTACCCTTAACCCTGCAAGTATAATTACTGCAGTTTTCATAAACTGCAATATTTACCTTGCAGGGTTAAGTCCTCCTCTAGTGGCTGTCTATCAGACAGCCACTAGAGGGACTTCCGTGTTCTTAGAACACGAAAAGTGTTTTAAGCGATGCTGGACGTCCTCACGCTATGTGAAGACCTCCAGCGTCGCCGAAATCCCCATAGGAAAGCACTCATGTGGATTAGGTCTCCCCCGTCGGCTGTCGTCGGCAAGGGAGGAGAGTAGGCGGAGCCTGACCATCGGTGCTGGACTCCGGTAAGTCACTGAAGGGGTTTTAATGGATGTATGCATAAATAAAGTGCTATACTTGATGAGGCAATATCCACTGTAACTAATATTAAGTCAACCTGTACAAGGTGAATACAAACGTGCACAATCAAATCCATCGCTTTACCAGTGAGTAAATCTAAACCAAAGAAACTTACCGTAATTAACTTACCCAGGTGAAACACCATCCAGGGAAGGGTGGGAGGGAAAATACTCGCCTCAGTGTCGTTAATAAAATCATGACTTTACATCATGTTAATAGTAAAATCTGGTAATTTTATTAAGACACTGAGGCTCCTATTATGCTGGTTTAAAGCTGTGAGATAACTGTTCCAGCAAAGTGTTCAATCGGTTTGAAGTAGAAGTAACGGAAAGTGGATTCCGAAGACCAATCGGCAGCTCGTAAAATATCCTCTGGTCGACATCCTACCGCGGAGGCTTTTGAGGCCATGGCTCCACGAACAGAATGTGGAGAGACACTCCCAATGTCATAATCCATTTGACCCATCTGGCTAGAGAGGGGGATGATATTGGAAGGTGTGGTTTGCGGACAGAGATAAATAATTGAGGTCTCATGGGATTGCGGAGCGGAGCTGTACAGATTTCGAATTCCCGTAAGCATGCCACTGGACACAAGAGAGGTTTATGTGGAAAGGCTGGGTATAGTACGGACTTAGAAGACGTTTTGGTCCTTCTAGAGATATCAAAGAGAAAGCCTTCTGGTGTAAAGGATCGAGCGTCTGTATCTAAAGCTCGTACATCCGGGGCTCTTTTGCATAAGATAAGGCAGAAAAGCATGACTAATTTTGCTGACAGTTGTTTGAGTGATATTGAAGAGTTGTCCGGCCATGACATTCGAAAGCGAAGGACAAGGGAAACATCCCAGAGTGAAGAGTAATGAGGGTGTGGTGGACAAGAAAATCGTACTCCACGTAGTAAGCGGCAGGCAAAGGGGTGAAGTCCAATGGGGGTTCCATCGATGCCTTTATGTCCAGCGGAAAGCGCTGAACAGTAAAAGGTTAAACGTGCTTCAAAGAGGTAAAAAACTGTGTAGGATGGCTGTCAAAGGAGCCGATAAGGGATCCAGATTTCTTCCCAAGCACCAACCATTCCATGCATTCCAAGCAGATTTATAAGCGTGTCTCGTGCCAGGTGCCCATGCATTCTCGAGAAGTCTGAGAGTTGATTGCGGAACGCCTTTGATTGACCAAGTTCCCCTGAAATCAGCCACGCCATAAGCCTGAGAAGGCCTTGGAGAATTAAGGGGTGAGGTTGTCCATCTGGATCCTGAAGAAGAGAATTGTACGAAGGGAAAAGGCTGGGGAAGTCCATCAACATTTCCAGAAGATGAGGGAACTATTGTTGGGACGGCCATTGGGGAGTCACAATGACCAACGTTCCCTTCTGGCGCAGTAGATGTAGAAGGCAACGGGGAATCAGTGCAAATGGAGGGAATGCGTAATTCGTCTCCGTGGCCCAATCTTGAAGGAAGGTATTCGTTGCGAGAGCCGAGGGATCTGGTCTCCAACTGTACTAGTGAGGGAGTTGAGCGTTCAACCAGGAGGCAAAGAGGTCTACTCCCAGAGGTCCCCAGGTATCTGTGATGTTCTTGAATGTCAAAGGGTCCAGACGCTGAAGTCCCTGAGATGTCTGGAGTACCAGTCCACAGTGGTGTTTGAAAGTCCAGGAATATATTCCGCTGTCACCGAGATATTGTGCATAAGGCAGAACTGCCAGAAGTCACGTGCCTGGTTTGCTAGCACTTTGAATTTCGTGCCTCCCAGATGGTTGATGTATCTGACTGCGGACAAGTTGTACATCTTCAATAGAATTGTGCATTGCGAATGAGTCGGGGATAGGCTGCGTACTGCAAAAGAACCGGCTAAAAGCTCTAAGCAGTTGATATGCAGTGTCGTTTCGAGGTCCGACCATCTGCCTCCCGTGGAGATATTTCCACAACGCGCACCCCAGCTGTGTAAGCTTGAATCTGATTCTATGATCAGATCTGGGGTTGTTCCGAAAATAGCGCGTCCATTCCATGCCTCCATGTGGAGGAGCAACCAACGAAGTTCGTCTTTCGCTTCTTTGTCTAGCGTTACCATATCCCCGTATGATGCTCCGCCTCTGAGATAAGAGGCTTGAAGTTGTTGTAGAGCTCGGTAATGGAGTGGGCCTGGGAATATGGTCTAGATGGAAGCCGCCAGGAGTCCGATGACTCGTGCCAGGTGTTTGAGAGAGAATTGGGGAACAGCCAACGTGCGTCTGATTTCTTTTTTGATGTTCAGCATTTTGACGCTGGGAGGTGTAGTGTTTGTGAATTGGAGTCGATCACTAGTCCTAGGAATTCAATGTATTTGTTTTTTTGAAATTCTTTATTTTTGAGTGCAGAAGGAGAAAACAGTTACAGAAGCGTGTGCCATGCCCCAACAGCATGTACACTCAATATAGTAATAAACATCAATGTAGTTAGGCATGACACATTGCACTTTTTTTTTTTTATAGTGACAAATTGCAAGATATAACATAGTATGCTAGCTGGTCAGCGTTTCGCACAAGCAACTCAGGTTAAAGTTAGGCGCTGTGGGAGACCTGTGAGTCCAAGCTATCTGGGTAGTAAGATATGGTATGCGGCCATTTGCGAGATTAGCGTGGTAGATTGAACTGTATTTAATACTCTAATAAGCATGAATGTAATCAGATTATGCAAACTGACGGTAAGGTAGTGAAGGGAGTACATACGTTACGCTTTTAGTTTCTGCCATTTTGACAGGTATTCATTTTCTAGATGAAGCCTAAAAATAAAGACAGGTCTGTCCTGGCAATTGAGAGTGTAGCTTGCTAAAATCAGGCGTAAACATATACTTAATTACATAAGTAACTCAAGGGATGTTCCATCCCAAAATGGCTGTCGTGAGAAAAGGCATCTGAGGAGGACATGCCCTGTTTTTAAGAAGTTGATGAAAGGCATAACACTGTGCAATAAAAAGAGAAAAACAAACAATATCTGACTAAGACTGATGATGGGAAGGGGAAAACTAACATATAAATCAGGAAGCTCAAAGAACTGAATATTAACTGTGGGGGTTCATCAGTGTTTTCTTAAGTCCCTTCAGCCGATGCCCCGTAATGGTGGGTCAGTGACCCAATAACGTAAGAGTCTCAGGTGTGATGTTCCTTGCTTGGGCCATTGTGGCTGGCTGGGGCGGTATAGGAGCGGAACAAATAATTGCATACCTTGCTCCCCCGGTCCTGCTGAGTTGGGCCCGCACGTACGGAGGGTAATGAATTTCTTGAACCCTTTGATAAGCCGTTTGTTTCTTGTACAGTCCAGTCTTGGAGGTCTCCGGGGGGGTCTCAGCACTTTGGTGTGGTGGCCTCCGGAGTGCCCGTAGAGCTGCTGCACAATGCAGGTTTTTAAACCCTGGTGAAAGGCAGGATGGGTTTCTGACCGGGCTCAGGGCTCTCTGGAACTTCTCAGGCTTGTTACCAGGCTGTGGCTTGGATTTGGTTGGTTCCCGCTTCTGTGCCGCTTTCAGGTAAGTTGGTTTCTGCTACTTGTACTTCCGCTGTGTCGGAGCCCCATCCGTCGGCAGCGCTTGTGGTCTGGAGCCTGCCAGCTGTCCTGGCTGTCCCGTGCGTGCTTCGGGTCGCAGGAGGACAGTCTGTCCGCCAACTGCTTCCAAAACTCGTCAAAGTGCCGGTCTAGCCTAGATTCAAACTCTGAGAGTGCCTCAAATATGGTAGGTTAGCATGTGGTTTCTGCTATTTTGTGTGGGTCGTGATAATCTGCAGCGTGAATGGCTGGCTCTGAGCCGCTTGTCTGCTATCCCTGGACAGTCTCCCAAGGGGGGGGGGAAGGTGTTATCGTCGGCAAGTTGTTCTCTCTGGGTGCCACCAGGCAGGGAGATAGGCTGTCTCTCCTGCCTGTCGAATGCTAGGCCGCATCCGCGGCATGAAGTAATGAAAGCTCCATCCAGCTTTGTGACCACCCTTAGGTAGGTCAGGAGGTGAGATTCTCGCAGGACGTGTTCTTTTTTCATGACAATTGCTCTTTTTAAGCTTGATTTGGGACAACATAGTGGAGGAGCTCGCTTGGCATGCGACTTTCCTCCGTGGCAGTCAAACTCCGCCCCCCGGAATTCGATGTTCTGAGCCAGTGTCAGGATAAGTTTTTCCCAGTTTATAAGGAAACCTAGGTTTTGCGACAGCGTCAGATTCCATGTGAGATGTGTGTGGAGAAGGTCAGTAGACTGGGCTAGAAGGAGGATATCGTCTAGATAGATGATAAGCCGAACACCTCAACTTCAAGCAGGGCAATCACGGGTTTCATAACTTTTGTGAAACACCATGGGGCTGATGATAGTCCGAACGGTAGGCATGTGAACCTTCATTTCCTTCCTTTCCACGTAAATTGGAGAAAATCTTGGTATCTGTCCGGTATAGGCATCATGAGGTATGTATCCTGGTCTAACTTGGCCATCCAATCTTTGGGTTGTAGAAGGTCACGCAGGCAGTGTATGCCTTCCATTTTGAAATGGTGGTAGGACACGTAGGCGTTCAATTGTTTCAAATTTATGACTGGCCTCGTTCCTCCGCCTTTCTTTGGTACCAGGAAGAGGTTGCGGACGTACCCCGGATTATTGAATGGGATCTCTGTGATGGCTTGTTTGCACATCAGAGCGTGGATTTCCTTGGACATGAAGATAGTATCGTGTTGGGAAAAAACAATCTCTCTGGGTAGGGAGAAGTGAGTCGGACGGGACACAAAATCTATGCAGTACCCTGTTACAGCTTGCAGGACCCAAGCATCTGATGTCAGATGTGACCACACATGGGAAAAATGTCTGAGTCTGCCCCCCACAACCTGAACGGAAGAAGGGGAATAGTAGACACTTACCATAAGGTCGTCGTCCAGAAGGAGCTCCTTGGATGCCCCTAGCGACCCAGAGTCTGCCTCTTTGGGGCAAGAAAGCTGGTGTGGCCCTCTGTTCTTGGAATCCAACTCTTCCGGTATAGGAACCTCGATTCTGTCTGTATGAACCTCTCTGAATACGGACGGACAGACGGCTCCTACCTCTTCCGGCCCTGGGAAAAACCTTTTGGTGGAATATCTTGCGCATCTTATTCTGCACCTTATCTAGGGCCGTAAAGGTATGCACAAAAGACCCTAATTCCTTTACAAAGGAATCACCAAATAAAAGCCCTTTAGCCTGGGCACCCGGCTCATTATACGCGAACGCGCGCCATAGACAGAGTGAAAACTGGTGAATGAAAACAAACTGCCGAACTTGACGAACGGCACTACTGCTCGAATCTAGGAGCAGGAGACCGTTACACATCAATTGAAAAAGGGCGTGAAAGTGCCGCGAGGCAAGTCAAAAGCAAATAAAAACGAGAGTAGCATTAAGAATAAGTTTTCCTCCTGGTGCCCCACAAAGAAATATAGGGACCCGGGAGGGAATCCAACCAAATCAAAATACAGGATATAAGAGCAGTTTATTTGCAGTAGCTACTACAGCAATTAAAAAGTTAAAATGATGTGAGTGAAAGAAACAACAATATTAAATAAACATAATCAGTGTAATAATATTGAAATAATAAAATAATTGTAAAGTAATAATAATAATAGCAATAATACTAATAGTAATAACAATCCCACAGTTAAGAACTATGGGATCAGTGTACTTAACCGAGGGTGCAGCAAAGAAAGAGGATATTGTCAAGGGAATACCGCCTATTATGCTGGAGAGTGGAACCTGATTGGCTGATTGGTTGCCAGCGAAGATATGTGTTAATGAATGTTTCCTGTGTTCATATCACTGTTAAAGTTTTTTTTTTGCTGCTGAGGGATATAAAGAGAGAGTGCAGCATAATAGGGGCCTCCATGTCTTAATAAAATCAGGCATCATCACACTCAATGAGAGATGTGATCTATGGAGGCATTTTCATAGACTTCAGTGTTATACTCTTACACTTGCAAGAAAGTACAGCACAGAAGCAGCTGCTGGCAGATAAAGCACCTGGAGATGAAGTGGGTGCCCAGGATGAAGACGGTGGGACAAATTTAAGTTAGTTAAATTTACCTTTTACTGCACCCCGAGTCGGTCAGACCCTAACTGGAGATGTCACCTTCATGGGTCTAACCGCTGAAAGAGACAGATCCAAATATTTTGGAGGGTTGGTGGAATGCTTGTCCTAGTAAGGTGAGGAAAGTGGCCTACCCCTAACTCACAAAAAACTTTCACCATATACAAACTTCTCGTATGACACTAGTGCACTAGTTTCGAATGCTAGCCAATCATATTACTGTATTTTCATGCCATCAGTGCCAACTGCTTGTACCTCCTCTACCTGTCCTACCATAACCTGCCCCCATGAGCTATCCATCCATGGCCAGTCACAGCGCTATCCATCCATGGCCAGTCACAGTGCTATCCAGCAATGGCCAGTCACAGCGCTATAAATCCATGGCCAGTCACAGTGCTATCCAGCAATGGCCAGTCACAGCGCTATCCATCCATGGCCAGTCACAGCGCTATCCATCCATGGCCAGTCACAGCGCTATCCATCCATGGCCAGTCACAGAGATATCCATCCATGGCCAGACACAGCGCTATCCGTCCCTGGCCAGAAACAGCGCTATCCTTCCCTGGCCAGAAACAGCGCTATCCGTCCATGGCCATTTACAGCGCTATAAAGCCATGGCCAGTCACAGCGCTATCCAGCCATGGCCAGTCACAGCGCTATCCAGCCATGGCCAGACACAGCGCTATCCGTCCCTGGCCAGACACAGCGCTATCCGTCCCTGGCCAGAAACAGCGCTATCCGTCCCTGGCCAGAAACAGCGCTATCCGTCCCTGGCCAGAAACAGCGCTATCCGTCCCTGGCCAGAAACAGCGCTATCTGTCCATGGCCAGTCACAGCGCTATAAAGCCATGGCCAGTCACAGCGCTATAGGTCCACGGCCAGTCACAGCGCTATCCGTCCATGGCCAGTCACAGCGCTATCCGTCCACGGCCAGTCACAGCGCTATCCGTCCATGGCCAGTCACAGCGCTATCCAGCCAAGGCCAGTCACAGCGCTATAGGTCCACGGCCAGTCACAGCGCTATCCGTCCATGGCCAGTCACAGCGCTATCCGTCCACGGCCAGTCACAGCGCTATCCGTCCATGGCCAGTCACAGCGCTATCCAGCCAAGGCCAGTCACAGCGCTATCCATCCACGGCCAGACACAGCGCTATGCAGCCAGGCCAGTCACAGCGCTATCCGTCCACGGCCAGTCACAGCGCTATGCAGCCATGGCCAGTCACAGCGCTATCGGTCCACGGCCAGTCACAGCGCTATCGGTCCACGGCCAGTCACAGCGCTATCCGGCCAAGGCCAGTCACAGCGCTATCCGTCCATGGCCAGTCACAGTGCTATCCATGGCCAGTCACAGCCAGTGGCGTACATACCAGGGTCGCCCCTGTGACCCGGTGTGTACCCACAGGGCCAGCCTCTTCTCCTGGTGGCCACCCAAGGCCCCCCCGAGGCTGGCCCTGCTGACCCCGGCGGGCGGGCAGGCTGGCTGTCTGGGTGGCGCGAGGGAGCACTCTCCCCTGAGTGCTTCCTCTTCAGCTCCCTCGCGCACCGCACTGATGCCGGAGCCGGAAGATGACATCATCTTCCGGTGCCGGCATCCCTACGCGGCGCGCGAGGGAGCTGAAGAGGAAGCACTCAGGGGAGAGTGCTCCCTCGTGCGCCGGCCGGCCACCCAGACAGCCAGCCTGCCCGCCCAGGAGCCCAGCAGCACCAGCACTGGACCCTAGGGAATCCCCCCAGCACTCCAAAAGGTAAGGAGGCTGGGGGGGGGTTAAATTTAAAAAAAAAAAAATGTGTGTGTGTGTTAGTGTATGTGTTTGTGTGTTAGTGTATGTGTGTGTTAGTGTGTGTTTGTGTGTTAGTGTTTGTTTGTGTGAGTGTCAGTGAGTGTGTCTGTTATAGGGTGTGTGTCAGTGAGTGTGTCTGTTATTGGGTGTGTGTCTGCTAGTGAGTGTGTTACTGTGTGTGTCTGTTACTGTGTGTGTTTGATGTCTGTTAGTGAGTGTGTGTTTGTCAGTGAAAGTGTATGTTTTGTAAGTCAGTGTGTATGTATGTCAGTAAATTTGTGTGTCTGTTAGCTAGTGTGTATGTGTCTGTTCGTGAGAATGTGTATGTGTGTGTCTTCAGCATTTACCTTTCTCCAGCGTCGGACTCCTTTGGCACTGCGGGTACCTCCGCCTCTCAGCTCCGAATGCTTACTCAATGCTTTCCTATGGACGTTCAGTGTCTTCTCACTGTGATTTTCACAGTGAGAATCGTGGAAGCTCCTCTAGCAGCTGTCAATGAGACAGCCACTAGAGGCTGGATTAACCCTCAGTGAAACATAGCAGTTTCTCTGAAACTGCTATGTTTTCAGCTGCAGGGTTAAAACTAGAGGGACCTACACCCAGACCACTTCATTGAGCTGATGTGATCTGGGTGTCTGTAGTGGTCCTTTAAGTGTGTGTGCATACCGCGGTCGCGGGGTCGCAGCCCTGCAACTCCTGCGACCAGGTGCCCGCCACCATGTGTTGCGGCCCCGACCCGCGCCGAGTAAGCGCGGGGGGGAGCCCACGGATCAATTTTCGCACCGGGGCCCCATGGGCAGTGGCGTACATACCAGGGTCGCAGGGGTCGCGGCTGCGACCGGGCCCGGCCCACCAGGGGGCCCGGCCGCCCCTGCGACCCGGTATGTACCCACAGGGCCAGCCTCTTCTCCTGGGGGGCCCAGGAGGCGGCCACCTCAGGCCCCCCCGAGGCTGGCCCTGCTGACCCGGGCGGGCTGGCTGGCCCGGCGCGTGAGGGAGCACTGAGTGCTTCCTCTTCAGCTCCCTCGCGCACTGCACTGATGCCAGCGCCGGAAGATGACGTCATCTTCCGGCGCCGGCATCCCTATGCGGCACGCGAGGGAGCTGAAGAGGAAGCACTGAGTGCTCCCTCGCGCGCCGGCCACCCAGCCAGCCCGCCCGGGTCAGCACCACTGGACCCCAGGGAATCCCCCCAGCACTCCAAAAGGTAAGGAGGCTGGGGGGATTAAATTTTAAAAAAAAATGTGTGTGTGTGTTAGTGAATGTATATGTATGTGTGTGTGTGTTAGTGTATTTATGTATGTGTGTGTGTGTTAGTGTATTTATGTATGTGTGTGTGTGTGTTAGTGTATGTATGTGTGTGTGTGTGTTAGTGTATGTATGTGTATGTGTGTGTTAGTGAATGTATGTGTATGTGTGTGTTAGTGAATGTATGTATGTGTGTGTGTGTGTGTGTTAGTGTATGTGTGTGTGTTAGTGAATGTATGTGTGTGTTAGTGAATGTATGTGTGTGTGTGTTAGTGTATGTATGTGTGTGTGTGTTAGTGTATGTATGTGTGTGTGTTAGTGAATGTATGTGTTAGTGAATGTATGTGTGTGTGTGTTAGTGAATGTGTGTGTGTGTTAGTGAATGTGTGTTAGTGTATGTGTGTATGTTAGTGTCTGTGTATGTTAGTGTGTGTGTGTGTGTTAGTGTATGTGTGTGTGTGTTTTAGTGTTTGTTTGTGTTAGTGAGTGTGTCTGTTATTGGGTGTGTGTATGCTAGTGAGTGTGTTACTGTGTGTGTCTGTTACTGAGTGTGTTTGATGTCTGTTAGTGAGTGTGTATGTATGTCTGTCGCTGAGTGTGTCTCTGTCAGTAAATGTGTGCGTCTGTTAGCTAGTGTGTATGCGTCTGTTCGTGAGAGTGTGTGTGTGTGTGTCTTCAGCATTTATCTTTCTCCAGCGTCGGACTCCCTTGGCGCTGGGGATCCCTCCGCCTCTCAGCTCTGAATGCACATGCGCGGCAAGAGGCGCACGCGCATTTAAACCGCCCATAGGAAAGCATTACTCAATGCTTTCCTATGGACGTACAGTGTCTTCTCACTGTGATTTTCACAGTGAGAATCGCGGAAGCTCCTCTAGCAGCTGTCAATGAGACAGCCACCAGAGGCTGGATTAACCCTCAGTGAAACATAGCCGTTTCTCTGAAACGGCTATGTTTTCAGCTGCAGGGTTAAAACTAGAGGGACCTGGCACCCAGACCACTTCATTGAGCTGATGTGATCAGGGTGTCTGTAGTGGTCCTTTAAGTGTGTGTGCATACCGCGGTCGCGGGGTCGCAGCCCTGCAACCCCTGCAACCCCTGCGACCAGGTGCCCGCCACCATGTGTTGCGGCCCCGATCCACGCCGAGTAAGCGCGGGGGGGGAGGCCCACGGATCAATTTTCGCACCGGGGCCCCATGGATCATGTGTACGCCACTGGTCACAGCGCTATCCGTCCACGGCCAGTCGCAGCGCTGTCTATAGAGCCAGTGTTATTCCCTATGTTATTCTATTTGCACAGAGCCGTGTCAGTGAATCAGACAAGGTGTGGCTGTTGTTGTGCGCTGTGTGAGAGCTGCTCCATCCATCACTCCGCTCAGGTGACACGGGAAGTTCCAGGCCGTGACCGTTGCTAAGGAGCTGTTGCTAGGGGCGGGCCGGCCGGTGCCGGGTAGCAGCTGGGTCACATGACAGGTCGGTCTTGTGACATTTCTCACATCCAGTCATGGCAGCCGCGGGGTTCCTCGCTCTCTGCGCTCTCCTGGCAGCTCTCCTGCCCCCGGCCCTCGCCCGGTACGAGCCCACCTGGGACTCGCTGGACAAGCGGCCGCTCCCGCCGTGGTTCGACGAGGCCAAGTTCGGGATATTCCTGCACTGGGGGGTGTTCTCGGTGCCGTCCTTCGGGAGCGAGTGGTTCTGGTGGAACTGGCGGCATGAGAAGAGCAAGTCCTACATGGAGTTCATGGAGGACAACTACCCGCCCGGATTCACCTACGCAGACTTCGCCTCTCAGTTCACTGCAGAGTTCTTCGACCCGGACGAGTGGGCCGAACTGTTCCAGGCTGCTGGGGCTCGGTAAGGGGAACCGGGGAAACCTGGCTCTAGCTGTAATAGGAAGCAACAGGTAAATCCTCTGCAAAAACTACAACTCCCATGATTTCAACTGGTAGAAAGCTGGCAAAGCATCATGGGAGTTGTAGTTCTGCAACTGCTAGGGGTGTTCTTAATCACCCAAAAGTTTCCTCCATGGCAGGGAGTGGGAGGATAGGTTGGGTTACAATAAAATACAAGGTGTGGGACAGGCTGAGTAAGGCAGGGCTTCCAGCTGGCTGCTCTCCAGTGTTTTGACAGGCAGATTAAAATTGTTAGTGGCTTTTCCCTACATATCTGTGAGCTGTTTTTCATTGAACATAAATGGGAAACGTAGTTTACAGTTTATTATTATTGATAACTTTTTTCACTGCGCTTTACAGTATTGTGAAGGGAGGAAATTTAATAACAAATGAGACATTTACAAAATGTTGCAGGAACAATAGGTAAATGAGGAACATGCTCAAACTAGCTTACAGTCTAGAGGAGTAAAGCATAAAGACGCAATAGGAAGGGATTGTCTGGGTTGTCAAAAATTGCCATCACTGCTTTTAGATCTAGAGCCTAATCCTGGCATGTAAAAGTGTCATAGAAAGTACAGAGAGCTACATCATTGCTTGTGCCTTAAAACTCAACAATCTTTTATTAATTGCATGTATCTGTGTATTATCTGCTTCAGATAGGTGACTTAAATGGCTCCAATATCTTGCAGGGTTTCACTGATGTTAATGTAAAACGATACTTTATATATTTACCATAATTAAGACAGTCATGGCTAGCCAAAAGTACCGTAGCACTTATAGGTTGACATAACCATAACCACTGGAGTGCCATCTCACATAAACACTCAGGAGTAGGACTTGTCTTATGTGATTAGAGTATGCCAGCATACAAACCATTTACATTTAACCTAAATGCTAATCTAAAAAAAAATGCTTAACGAAAAACATAATGCCATTAAAGTGTGTATAAGTGTAAATTATAATGACTTTTCCCTTTCTTCTTCACACATGCTCCTGCCCATGTGTTATGGTTTTTATGATTTGCTTTATAGACCAAGATGCGTGTTGAAGACAGTAATTGCCTTAACTTTTATTAGTCGTACATTTTGCGTATTAATCTTTAAATAAGCAAGGAGCGGCTATATTTTCTATAGTACTATTAGAAAAAACAAGCCCAGTACAAACAGGAAGTTCAGAAGACTTATTTTTTGCTTTGTGTTCTGGTGCTTTTTTACATTTTTACTTCCTTTCATTTTGAAATTTCTCACCCAGCTATGTAGTCCTGACCACTAAGCACCATGAAGGATTTACCAACTGGGGTTCTCCAGTTTCCTGGAACTGGAATTCTGTGGATACTGGGCCTCATCGTGACCTCGTGGGGGACTTGGGAACTGCCCTGAGAAAAAGGTTTGTAAGTGTGGAGGCTTTTGCCAGATGCCATACATATAAAAGTCCTGTATTACAATCTAGCTATGTAACTGTACATTGTTTCTATAATAAACATTTTTGCCCTTTTGCCCTCTTTTTTAAACAGGTCTTTTTATTTTTTTAATGTACCTCTACATCGTTTCTATAATAAACATTTTTGTTTGTTTGTGCCCTCCCTTTTTCTTTTAATATAACAGGCCTTCCCAAATGTAATTTTCAGCACACCTCAACCGATTTATGCCCCTCACATAATCTGGCTTTTGTCCCAGCCATAAATTGGAAGCCAGCCTGGAGTTGTGAGAGGGGCTATAAGGCCATATAGTCCTGGCTTCCCTCCCCTCTAGGGTGTCGTTGTGTATTCTTTGCCCCAACCCTACTGGGGTCTTTTGGTCTTTAGAATTCGTTATTCTCATGCTCATGGAATATTACAGCGGGTGGTGGATTAAGAACACATTCCTGTACAGACAGTGTAATAGTTCTAAAACTATTGTTCCAAATAAAAAAAGGAAATACTTTGAACGTGTCCCAAGGTGGGCTCACATTGGAAATCAGTGCACAAATTAATATATACAATCACAGATTCAATCCCCCAGCTCACCCTTGAAATTTTACATTTTTTTAAAATTCTTTATTTTTGTTGTGCATGGTTCTAACAGCCAGGTTTACTATGCATTAGTAAACATGAGGAAATTGAGTACATCACTTTACAAGGCATATATGTGGAACTGCACATTTTATGAACATTAATTAAGCAAATTTGGAAAAGTCAGGTCTATAGGGTGAGTCTGTAAGTGTATGAGTAGTGGGGTTCTGTGTCCGCCTTAAGCGTGTGTGCTGATGAGTGTTATTGAGGTTGTCAAGTGCGTCTTTTGTCGGTAGATTAGTGATTGCGCCAGGAGCAGTTAAAACAATTTGGTAATTTTAAATAAATAAAAAGCGATAGTCATTAGTGTGACGTATTAAGTAAACTTAAGTAGAAGACCCAACTGGGATATTAAGTATGTCAAGCGTTCAGGTCACAGAGTCCCCTGTTCTCCCAGGTACAAAAGGGGCGATTTGTGATACATCCCAGACATGGTTGGTGGGGGAAGATGGTTGTGTCTCAGAAAGTCCCAGGGCTTGCAGGATGTTCAGGCCCTCCAATGGTCCTATTGCCTTGTGGGTGGCCCCATCTTTAGTGACCGTGAGAGGCCTAGGGTAGGTCCACCGATAGGCAAGTCCAACCTTCTGTACAGACAGTGACTTTATTATTTATATATTTTTATTATTTATCTCATCAGTTACATTTTTGGTAACAGAATTGGTAGATAAAATTAGTATATTAAGCAAAACGCTTTAATCTTACACATATTAGAATCAATCTGTAATTCTTATAAAAATGTTAGTTTGATTCTGTAGCCTGATTTTATGTTTGCGTTTTAGGAACTTGCGCTATGGTTTGTACCATTCTTTGTTGGAGTGGTTTCACCCACTTTATCTAGCTGACAAAAATAATGGATTCAAGACTCAGTATTTTGTATTTGCAAAGACCATGCCTGAATTATATGACCTGGTAACAAGGTAAGAACCATCCAAATAATGCTTAAATAGAAACATTTATATCACAACTGCATTATTCAAAGTAGCTTAATTTTTTGAATGCCTAATGAAATCAAATAGCTATCTTGTTGTAATTAGAATATTATGCAAATTGTGCTGTTACTATCTGTTTGAATTAATTTAGTTCTATTTCATTTAGAAATTGCCAGGATCTTTACTACATTTAAATAAAATGACCAATTTATCCATACAGGAATAAGAGGTGACTAGATAAGGAAATATACTGTCTAAAGAAAGCAGTGCATAATTACACAGATGGTATAAGTTTAATCAATTATTCTTTACTGACTGTGTCTTGGATATGCAAGTAAAATACCCATAATTATATGGGAAGCTGCTTATGGTCAGAGCACAATTTTGTAAAATTACAAATTCTCCCCTTTTACTGGGCATGATGACGGATATATTGGGAGTATGGTTACTGCACACATACATTCTATTTTTTAGGTACAAGCCAGATTTGGTCTGGTCAGATGGAGATTGGGAATCACCAGACACCTACTGGAACTCTACAGATTTCCTGGCTTGGCTCTACAACGACAGCCCGGTCAAGGTATGTAGCCTTGCGTCTTCTGTGATGTTTTGCATTAATGTGCCTGCATGCAATGTTCAGGAAGTTGGCCTATCACAAAAAAAATCTAAATATTTTCTTCCTTCTTTTGTACATATATATATTACATTATATATATATATATATATATATATATATGTGTGTGTATGTGTACAAAATTTGTACAGTTGTCTAGGAGATTTCATTTAACATTCTTGTAACCTTTTTCATCTGTACAAAAATTAGACTCAAATAGAGATTTCTAGTTATCTGATGTATGCGTGAATCCTCCAAGAATATTCTGGTACCCCATTGTAAGTAGTCAAACAGGTTTAGAATCTCGGTCCCTGACACTCCTCTAGCCGGAAGTTCTCAGCTCTGAGTTATGCACATTGGCTCATTAGCTGAGAACGACCAGGGCTTGGCTCAGGAGAGCTAATGGAAGCTCCTAAGTACGAGCTTCTGGCTCTCTCTGAGTTGTAGTGGAGGCGGGGAGTAGAACCCAGTAGACACCAGGTAAGAAATCAAACTATTCTAAAAAAGTTTGACTACTTACAGTGAGTGGGGAGATACATCACTCTTGGCACCATACCTACTATAGCGCTCTGTAAATGATAACCTATCATACTGATTGCAAAGTCCATGTTATCAAACATTTATTGACTTTATACTGATCTCTGCCTCTCTGTTCTATACTTGTTAGTTTGCGGTAGAGATATATATTTCAAACTGAAGGATTTAGTTGAGTTTGGAATAATTTAGTTTTTTACCATTTTTCTTTAATTTTATTCATATAAAATTATATATTTAACATGAAGGAAAACATTTAAAGTTTATAGAAACTGGTAATAGTTCTAAAACTATTGTTCCAAATAAAAAAAGGAAATACTGTGGACATGTCCCAAGGTGGGCTCAAATTGGAAATCAGTCCACATTGTAATATATACAATCACAGATTCAATCCCCCAGTTGACCCTTGACATTTTTAAAATTTTTGTTTTTTAAATTCTTTATTTTTGTTGTGCATGGTTCTAACAGTCAGGTTTACTATGCGTTAGTAAACATGAGGAAATTGAGTACATCACTTTACAAGGCATATATGTGGAACTGCACATTTTATGAACATTAAGCAAATTTGGAAAAGTCAGGTCTATAGGGTGAGTCTGTAAGTGTATGAGTAGTGGGGTCCTGTGGAGCTGACTAGTAGAGAACAAGTGTCTTCGCTGGAAGGGATAGATTTAAGCAAAGGACATAGGCGTGCACACTGGGTGTGCCTGGGCACACCCTAATCCCCGCACGCTGCACATGGATCGAGTCCGGCAGGGAAGATCAAAAAATCTCCCCTGCCGGCTCAAGCTTACCGATTGGCCCCGAGAGAAGCTCTGAAGAGCTCCGTTCCGTTTGGTTACGGAGAAAAGGGCCTCCAGGCTGCACGCAGGGCAGCCCTCTCGCGATCTCTGACATTTTCAGAGCGTTGCCGTGGTTACCCGCGGCAACGCTCTGAAACTCCAGCTCTCGCGAGAGGAAGGCATGGTCTGTACCCTGAATGTAGAAGGAAGGGAAGGCACCTAGATGCCAAAATCCCAACTTGGGGTGTGTCGAACTTTCTTATAGGGGATAACCCTTGTATATATACAGTAGGTAAGTAGATAGGTGAGTAATCCTAAGCTAAAAATAGCAATAGGAGCTCAAAGAAGAAAGTTCTGCAAAAAATGCTAATATGACATATATCTAAAAAATAGCTTTATTGGAAAAGGGTCTACTCAAGGTATGATCCCTAATAAAAGAGACAGACTTAATTAAACTAAATACAACATAACCACTAAAACGTAATGATATACATTAGGAGTAATGGACTCCAACACAAAATCTAGAGAGAGAGCTGGGAAGAAAATATCTGTAGCCACAATACTAATATCGAGCAGCAAGAATCCCTAAACACCAATCCTGATGTGTACAGGCCCATATGTGGTGAAAGAGTAAGAGAGAAAGAGACTGGAATACAGAATATGTCTGTATCTGTCTGACTGCCAGACAGGATATTAAATACTGAAACAGTATCAATAAAGCATTCACTCAAATGTCAGCACGGAAACAGAGTATCTCCTCTGTATGAAAGTAATTAGCTTAGACACTGCTATTTGCATGCGAAAAGCCCGGTCTGTCAAGGGAGATCAAAAGAGTTGCTGACTGCTAGCGCTGCTCGTGTAAGGCGTTTCTAGCTGGTCCTGTAAAGGAAAAAAGATTCTACTCTCATTCTATGCTGCTAATCACAGATGGCTATTATCAGCTAATATAACTAGATATTGGAGTCCATAGCCCCCACCCTGTGATCACATCTACGAGGTGAGAAGTTTAAAATAAAAGAAGAAAAGGACCTAACGCACGTTTCGGCGCTCAACAAGCGCCTTTGTCAAAGGTAAATTCGATATGGCTCATAACTCCGTTTAAATATCCCACCTCATCCTTCAATAGCCAATCGGATCCAGGGGCGTGTTCTACAGTTCGCGCCAAAAGATGCCGACGGCAGAGGGATGTCAATCAAATATTGTCACGCCCAATATGTGTAGACGGAGGTGGGGAGTCTCCAGCCGAATCATGTTGGCATGGAGACAGGACCTCCCACACTATGCCGGGCGTAGATGCCCATAATGTACGGTAAGGGGGAGCATAACTACCCACACGGAGGAGAAAAACCCCCCCACACAAATAAAACAATAACAGATTGCCCCTAACGCATGTGTGTCAAAATGTTAGAATAGGCAATATGGGGACTCCTAAGGAGTAAGGTATGATATGACTAGAGATAGAAGACTGGCAATTTGAGGATTTCAAATGCTCTTTCAGACACATTTACCTATATGTCCAGTAGGGTTTATCCTGCAAGTCTTAATTTAGAGTGAAAGCATACCTTTCCATTGTGGGGAGGTGATAAAAGATCCAGGGGTGAAGAGTGCTAAAAATAGACCCCTTACTTAGTAGAGCGATAGGGATGATTAATCCCAGGTGGAATAAATATGGAAAATGGTATTATATCGAAAGAACAGAAAGTAGTGAAAATCTCAAAGGAGCTATTAAAGTGATAGAGTATGATTAATAGCAACACAACACATATCTTTATACATAAACTCAGTTCATCAAATTTCAATGAATGGGGTAAAGGTGAAACCCTCATTCAATCCTTTAGGGGCTAGTGTATCTAGCCTGTATATCCAATAGCATTCCCTTCTTTTAAGGATCTGATCAAGATCACCCCCTCTTTTGCCTAGTGCTACCTTTTCCACTCCTGAAAACTTGATGCAGTTAGGGGTATCGGGATGCTGTATTCTGATATGTCTGGCTACTGGCGTATCTCTGTTCGAAGTTACAGAGTGGACATGTTCCATAATGCGTTTCTTAAATGGGCGTATAGTTTTGCCTACATATTTTAAGCCGCATTTGCATGTCAGTAAGTAGACGATTCCTGTAGTATTGCAGTTAAAAAACTGTCTTACATTAATTGTGTCAGAGTCAGTAGAATTCGTAAGAGTTTTGGAACCTTTAGCTATGTACATACATGCAACACAACGCCCACATTGGTATGTGCCCTGTATGTTCATCCAGGTGGTATTAGATTTTTTAAGGCGAGAGAAGTGGCTAGGTACGAGTATTTCTTTCATATTCCTGCCTCTCCTGGCTGTAATGGATACTTTCGGTGGGATTATGTCTTTAAGGTGGAGGTCTTGTGTGAGTAATGGCCAAAAGCGGCCGATCACATGTCTCATTTTGGTCCAACCCGCATCGTAGTTGGCTATACATCTGATGAGTTTTTTTGACTCCAAGATGGGTTTATCTTGTAACAATTCCCCACGGTTACAGTTTAAAGCCCTCTGGTAGGCCTGTTTTAGACATCTAATCGGATATCCTCTCTGTTTAAATCTCTGTCTTAATTCAGTAGCTTTATGTTTGAAGTCCTCAGTGGATGAACAATTCCTTCTTAACCTCAGGTATTGACCCACCGGGATTCCTCTCTTTAAAGGAGTGGGATGATAGCTTTCCCATCTCAGCAAGTTATTTGTGGACGTGGATTTACGATATAGAGTGGTCTCAATATCACCGTCCTTAGCTATCCTGAGTGTACAGTCAAGGAAGTTAAGTTCCTGATCACCATATTCCATGGTGAATCTCAGATTGAGATCATTCGTATTGAGTGTTTCCACGAAGGTATTGAAGTGAGTTTGAGTACCCGTCCAAATAATTAGGACGTCATCTATGTATCGCTTCCATAGAAATATGAAGTCCGTAAATTTTGAATATTGCTCTGAAAATACAATCTCTCTTTCCCACCATCCCAGGTGCAGGTTGGCATAGGAAGGGGCACAGGACGTCCCCATCGCTGTTCCCTGCACCTGGTGATAGTATTTGTTCTGAAAAAGAAAGAAATTGTGTGTCAAAATAAACTTCAATAGATCTAACACAAACATCGTGTGTGTATTATGTTCGGCACCCCTTTTCCCAAGGAAGTATTTGATGTGTTCAAGCCCGCTTAGGTGTGGTATGGAGGAGTATAGGGCTTCCACATCCAGACTGCAGAGTGCTGCTCCCAAAGGTACCTTGAGTGATGTTACACATTTTAAGGTATCTTTGGTATCCTTCAAGTATGATGGCAAGTTTTTAACAAATGGGCGTAAAATTCTATCCACATACATGCTCCCTTTGCTTGTAAAGTTATTTGTACCTGATACAATTGGTCTTGCTGTCAGGTTTACTTGTTTCTTATGTATTTTGGGGAGACAGTAGAATGTGGAGATAGTTGGATTTTTAATGTAGATATTTGCATATTCCTCCTTTGATAGTACCCCCTGATCGAAAGCTTGATCCAGAAGGATTTTATATTCCCTTTGATATTTCTGGGATGGATCCATAGTTAGTGGTTTATAGGTGCCTTCATCTAGAAGAATGGCCTCCACCATCTGTACATAGTGTTGTCTGTTTAAAAGGACAATGTTGCCGCCTTTGTCGGCGGGCTTAATGATGATTTTATCATTGTCCCTAAGTTCACATAGTGCCCTCCATTCATTCTTTGGTAAGTTCTCCCTGGGTTTCACTGTCAGCATGTCTGTATTTAAGGTTTTGATCATGTTAGTAGTGGAATCTATAAAAGTATAGATATTGTTAAACTCTCTAAAATTAGGAGTGAATTTACTTCTTGTACAGAGATCAGTATAGGGTGCTGTGGGGGTGGTGTCATTATCTTCCAACAGAGACACCAGTTCCTGCAGACATTGGTATTCTCTGGGATTAAATCCAAGTTCTTTTGCTCTTTTATCATCTTTTAATTTAAAGTACTTGTGTAGGGCTAGTTTCCTCCCGAACAGATTTATGTCCTTTATCCAATATGTCCTTTATCCTGCGGAGGTACAGGCAACATCACTAGCCCACTTGATCACCAGGGATGATCAGCAGCGTGCTCCCTCTCCCCCCTGCAAAGTAATAAGGTAAAAAGGGGATGTACATGTATAGGTTTTTTTATTTTAATTTAAACAATCAAAATTATTTAACCCTATCCAGCCCTTATATACCATAAACTATACCCCCACCATTTACTCACTACACCCTATATACACTATACACCTTATATACACCCCCTGCACCTACACACTATACCCCCAATACATACACACTACACCCTATATACACACTGCACCTACACACCACACACACTATACACCTTATATACACCCCCTGCATCTACACCCTATACCCCTATACATACACACTACACCCTATATACACCATGCATCTACACACTATACACCTTATATACACCCCCTGCTCCTACTCACTATACCCCTATACATACACACTACACCCTATATACACACTGCACCTACACACACTGTAACACCTTATATGCAACCCCTATATACACACACAACACTCCCTGCACCTACACACTATACCCCTATACATACACACTACACCACCTGCACCTACACACCTTATATAAACACTATACACTATACCCCCTATACATACACACTACACCCTATATACACACTGCACCTACACACCACACACACTATACACCTTATATACACCCCCTGCATCTACACCCTATACCCCCTATACATACACACTACACCCTATATACACCATGCATCTACACACTATACACCTTATATACACCCCCTGCTCCTACTCACTATACCCCCTATACATACACACTACACCCTATATACACACTGCACCTACACACACTGTAACACCTTATATGCAACCCCTATATACACACACAACACTCCCTGCACCTACACACTATACCCCTATACATACACACTACACTACCTGCACCTACACACCCTATATAAACACTACACACTATACCCCCTATACATACACACTACACCCCCTGCACTTACACACACTATATAAACACTACACACTATACCCCCTATATACACACACTACACCCCCTATTATTACCACACCAATACACACATGTGCATAGCAACGGTACGCATACACACAATGCCACCCCCTGCAACTCCTAGATACACGAAATACAGTCCTTACATGCAGATGCAACACACCACTAGGCACACACACTCTAAAGGTCCTATATACACACACACTCTAAAGGTCCTATATACACACATATATATATATATATATAGAGTGTGTGTGTGTATATAGGACCTTTAGAGTGTGTGTGCCTAGTGGTGTGTTGCATCTGCATGTAAGGACTGTATTTCGTGTATCTAGGAGTTGCAGGGGGTGGCATTGTGTGTATGCGTACCGTTGTTGTGCACATGTTTGTATTGGTGTGGTAATAATAGGGGGTATAGTGTGTAGTGTTTATATAGTGTGTGTAAGTGCAGGGGGTGTAGTGTGTATGTATAGGGGGTATAGTGTGTAGTGTTTATATAGGGTGTGTAGGTGGTGTAGTGTGTTTGTATAGGGGTATAGTGTGTGTATATAGGGGTTGCATATAAGGTGTTGCAGTGTGTATATAGGGTGTAGTGTGTATGTATAGGGGGTATAGTGAGTAGGTGCAGGGGGTGTATATAAGGTGTATAGTGTGTGTGTGTGTGTGTGTGTGTGGTGTGTAGGTGCAGTGTGTATATAGGGTGTAGTGTGTGTGTGTGTGTGTGTGTGTGTGTATATATATATATATATATATATATATATATATATACATATATATAATACAGCCCAAAAACACACCTATACACTACAGGCCCAGCTACATATTATACACCACAAACAGACCCCTTTGCACTCTACAGCATAACCGGTCTCTTCTACACACATGCAATCACATAAAAAACATCCAAACACATATAACACCGCAGGGAGTATTCCCACACGTGCAAAACACACTTTAACAATCCTTTTCCACTTGTGTTCTCCGGTACCCACTACTGGGGACACCAGAGACAAGTCAGTAGGACTTTTTCGCCATCATTGAGCACTGAATGCTCTGGTGGGGCATCACACTAACATAACAATTGGGAAGGCGGGTTGTGCTTGTCATTGGTGGCGATATAACGTGCCACATTTCTGGCTCACCCTTCCTAGTGGGCTGCTCTGCTTGGGCTGACTTTTTGTCTTAGTCCAGCCCTGCTCACCGGCCCACAGGCAGGAGAGTACCCGGGGAGCTCTAGCCAGCAGTTCCGCTGGGTTTCTCTCGCGAGGTCGGAGCGTTGCCACGGCAACGCTCAGATCTTGTGAGAGTGAACTCTAGCCCTGCAGGCTAGCATTCACTCACACTAGGCATGGACACACACACACACACTATTAATATTATGTTATTTATATAGCGCCATCAAATTCTGCAGCGCTTTACAATGGGTGGACGAACAGACATGTAGTTGTAACCAGACAAGTTGGACTCACAGGAACAGAGGGGTTGAGGGCCCTGCTCAATGAGCTTACATGCTAGAGGGAGTGGGGTAAAATGACACAAAAAGGTAAGGATAGTATTAGACTAGTGACAGTTGCAGAAGAGGAATCAGTTTAATTGATACGCTTTTATGAAGAAGTGTGTTTTTTAACGATTTTTTTTTTAATTCTTTATTTTTCTTGTGCATAAGAAAACATAACAGGCCTGTAGTGCCATGACAGCTAGTACAGGCATTTCAATAGCAAACAATGTCATAGCAGAGTAATACAGCACATTTTTATATTTATGAGAAAACAGGCTAGAAATACTTGAGTATGACTTAGATAGTGTAGTTTGTCTACGTATGCATGTTTGTATATTTGTGGTAGCATAACACAATGTTTAATCATGACCTGCACGGGGGGGGGTCACGACATTTACTCGTATGCATGGATACTCGTAGACACCCCTATCTACTAAATATGACTACCATTTTATGATGTTATAGAAACAAGATGGCCTCAAGCTATGCCGTCATGTCTAACTACGAGAGTAATGCAAGGAGGGCCTAGTACATTATATTATATTTGTTATGCTTGTTAATTGTTGGGAGCCGAGACTTCTAGCTAGACATTTTAATATATACTAGTGTAACTGTAAGTAAACATGCTATCGAGTTAGTGCACCCCTGAGTGCATTATTAGTAGTACGCCGTGCTGCAGTGTCATTAGACAGTTTGAGGAGAGAGAGCAGAAATGATAAGCTAATTATAAAAAGAACATAATACACAAGTTTTTGTGCATGGTATTTAAGGACAAAAATAGCGTCTCAGGTCGTTGCATTTAAAGACAGAAATAGCGTCTCAGGTCGTTAAGGAGAAAGTCCAGCCCGGTGTCAGTCCCATAAGCTAGCTTAGCCGATTCCGTCAGGTGGTGGGGTAGCTGGTTCACTGGAGTTGGTGGCACTGTGAGGCGCGTTGTCTCCTCGGCCCCAGGATTGCAGGATCGCCGGCATCTGTGAACCGCAGACTTGGATTTGCCGAGGGACCATGATTTTCCCCATCTCAGGGGTGGCGGAGGTAGTGAGGATTTGTCTCAGCCGGTGCGCGGATCTCCGCCTGCGTGGACGATGTTTGGAGGACTTGCCTCGTGTGGCTCTCCGCCTGGGCGAGCGGTAGTGAGGTCTCGGGAGCATTGTTTTATATGTGGTGCCCTGAGGAGGCTTTACCATGCTGGAGTGCTTCATTCTCCGGTTTCCCTTCGGCGGCACTGAGCTGTGAGCAGTGGCTTGCAGACGGGCTTGTACCCTAAGCCAAAAGGCCTGGAAGATTTGATCCAGCCGCCTCGATGTGTAGGTATAGGCGTCACTGAGTGTCCTCTCCGTTGCAGCTGTGCCACGTGTTGTCGTGCGGGCTGCGTCCGCCATTGTGGGAATATGGATGTCTGTGTGCTCTGCTGCAGGGGTAACGTTGTTGCAGCTAACTGCTCTCCGGGTGGGACCGGGATATCCCCCGCCGGTCCAGAGGGGGGGGGTGTGGAGTCGTGCTTATCTTAGCTTTATTCAGCGGAAGCAGAGCGGCCGTCTCTCCCTCGGTCTGAGTCCAGTAGGCCTCAACCTGCTGTTGCGGTTCCGGTCGCCTTATGGTGTTGACTAAGGTATCCACCTGTAGGGTTAGGTGCCCCCAGCTTGGGAATCCCCTTGAGTAGAGGTCACCAGGTTGTCAACCCAGGATATCACCGGGTATTCGGCATTAACAGCAGGAGCTTGTGTGATGCACGTCTTGCCTGCTTGCAGTCCAAGCTCCGCCCCCTTTTAACGATTTTTTTGAAGGCGTGGAGACTGGGTGAGCATCTAACGGAGGAGGGAAGCGAGTTCCACAGGAACTGTGCAGCCCTCGAGAAATCTTGAAGGCGAGCATCAGAGGTGGGAGTACGGACAGAAGATAGACTTAAGATCGTAAGGGCCTAGACAGGACATACTTGTGTATAAGGGAGGATAGATAGGTGGGAGCATATATACGCGGCGTGTGTGTTTGTGCTTTAGGGTGCACACCCTAATGCAATAGTCTGCACATGCCTATGGCAAAGGAGGTTGGCCTGCTTGTCCTTTTGGCAAGATTGTGGTCGGGAGTGTGTTAAGGCATGTGTGAGGTCCACTAGGGGTCTGCATTAAGCGTGTGTGCTGATGAGTGTTATTGAGGTTGTCAAGCGCGTCTTTTGTCGGTAGATTAGTGATTGCACCAGGAGCAGTTTAAACACAATAAAACAATTTTAAATAAAAAGCAATAGTCATTAGTGTGACGTATTAAGTAAACTTAAGTAGAAGACCCAACTGGGTTATTAAGTATGTCAAGCGTTCAGGTCACAGTCCCCTGTTCTCCCAGGTACAAAAGGGGCAATTTGTGATACATCCCAGACATGGTTGGTTGGTGAAGATGGTTGTGTCTCAGAAAGTCTCAGGGCTTGCAGGATGTTCAGGCCCTCCAATGGTCCTGTTGCCTTGTGGGTGGCCCCATCTTTAGTGACCGTGAGAGGCCTAGGGTAGGTCCACCGATAGGCAAGTCCAGCCTTCTGTCGGGCCTGTGTGGTGGGACACATGGATTTTCGCCACAGCAGTGTAGCTTTGCTCAGGTCCTGGAAGAAGGTGAGGGAAAGATTCTCGAATAGAAGCAGGGTTTTGCCCTGTAGAGTGTGTAGTATTCGCTGTTTGTCGATGTGGGTCTGACAGCATAGGATGACATCTCGTGGGACTTATAATTGTTCCCATCCGGGTTGTGGAGTGGAAGGGAAAGATTATAGGGGTCGTCGCATAGAAGGTGGAGGTGGTTCGTCATGCTTGTAGTTGTGGGGGTTATTTCGGTGTTTGGGAGTGCGTCGGTTGTGTCACATACTTCAAGTGGGGGCCTGGCTGTTATGTGGGGATGGGAAATACAAAGAACCATGGATCCCAGATTTTTTTTTTTTTTTTTTATAATTCTTTATTTTTGACAGTGCAGCAGGGAGTATACAGATTGCAGTGGTATAAACATATACATTTCCATAATAGACAATTGGCAAGCAGAGATGGTTATATGTGCTGCACTGTTATTTTTGGGTTAAAGGCGTGGTATACATAGAATACATCAATTATAGGGTATTCCCAGCCCATATGGTGACATCTGTCCGCTATTGTCGTGTACGGTATGTGGCTAATCAGAAGGGTTGGCCAGAAGGCGTCACATATGTCGGCTAGGCTTGTAGGTAAGTATATGTTAGGCAGGTGAGTCGAGTCGAGGGTAAGAAAAGTATGGTGAGTGAAGTAAGGCAATTTATGAGTGGATACATCTAGTGTTGTCCCCAGGGTGTGTATGTGCTGTTGCGTCATTGGGTCTCAAGTATCCCTGTTTGGGGTTACCTCTCCGGTATCGGTTGTAAGTCTCAGGCTGCATTTCTCTAGGGTGTTGAGGCCCGGAGGGGGGGTGGGGGGGGAGGGGAGAAAAGCCTCGTCCGTGTTTATGTATCCTCAGGTCAGAGGGAGTATCCCTGTAACATAGGTCGGCTGTGTTGGCCTAAGTGTGTGAGGCGTTGCGAGGGCTATATTAAACAGTCAACCAGTGAAAAAGTAACAAAAGAAAACAAAAGCGTAGACTTAAGAAAAAAAAAAATAAAATAAAAATAAACGTAAGCATTTTGGGAACAGAGAGAAAGTTCAAACCAGTATTAAGGGTTATAAGTCCGAGTGGTCATCGGTGGTGGTTAGGAGGAGCCCAGTCGTCCAACCAGTGAGCTGAGGGTGGCTGCTCGTAGAGTAATCTTCAGGTCATTCTCTCTTGTCCTAGGCGTCGCCCCGTTCGGGTGGTGAATTCTTTGATGGCAGAGGGGTCTATGTGTGCTAGTCCTGAGCCGGCCTCTCTCTGCGGTCCCATGATGCCGATCTTATGTAGGTGAGCTTCAAGTTCCGTGTAGGTCCGGGCCCTGTAGACAGCATTCATGTGAGTGAATAGAATCTGCTTAGGAATTCCCCAGCGGTACTGGATCTCTTGCGCTTGAAGGATGTTCAGCAGCGTTCTCAGTGACCTTCGCCATGCGATGGTGTTGCGGGTAAGATCCTGGAACAGCGTTAGGGATGAGCCTTCGAAGTGCATTGGGGTCTTCCCCCTTGTGGCTGTGAGCAGCAGGGCCCTATCCGACATTGATTGAAATCGTATGATAAGGTCTGCGGAGGCAGTCATGGGCGCTGTAGGCGGTTTTGGTAGGCGAAATAGGCCGTCTAGTTTCACCGCTTTGGCCTGTTTGGGTGGCAGCAGCGTGGTGAGCAGTCGGCGGACATAGTGAGATAAGTCAGTTAGACCTATCGAGTCCGGGATGCCGCGGATTTTAAGGTTGTAGCGCCTTTTCTGGTCCTCCATGGCGTCCACCCTGTCGGTGGTTGTCAGCTGTTGCTTTTGCAGTTCTGCAATCTGGTTTTCCAACACGGTTAGCCTGGAGTCTTGGGTACTAGTTGTGGCCTCTAGGAGAGTGATCCGGGAGGTAGCGCTTTCAATGGCTGTTTTGAAGTAGGCCATATCTGCTGCTATATTCGCCCTAAGCTCAGCCAGCATGTCTTTCAGCTGGGCTGCTGTTACGGGTTCAGCCAGGGCTGGATGTTTGTTTGGCTGCGGGTCTCATGGGTACATCGAGTGGTATCTCCTCTCCGATGTCGAGCGGGTTGGCTTCTGAGGAGTACGAGGAGTCATCCCCCTCCAGCGCCATTTTGTCCCATGCGGCCCTTTGGGCGCCCCTCAGGAGTTCACCGATATCTCGGCTTGTCGAGGTCCGATCGCTCTTGGGTTTTTTGCTTTTCAGTCCCATTTTCATTAACTCCCCCTCTGGTGTTGGGGTTAGGCTTCGGAGGTGTCCGTTCACAGTATATATTGCTGTTTAAGCGAGCCAGGCTCGGAGCTCGGGGAAAACGTGTCCTCTCTGTTCCACAGTTGGCTCCGCCCCCCGGATCCCAGATTTTTAAGGATGATTTTACATATTTTTACAAAATTATTTTGTTTAGTTTCTCTTTGTTATTTTCCCACCATTTTTTTTTTTTTCTATGTTATTTTATTTATGTTTGAATTTTTAATTTGTTTGAATTTTTTTTTTCATTGTATTGTTGGTAACTTTGTAGACTCGTTGTTAAAACTCATGTATTATCAATGTGTATTGTCGATTTGTTTATTGTTATTACATTATTTTTTTTATTTATATATATTTATATTTGAAAAACTCAATAATAATATTTGAAACAAATAAAAAAAAAGGAAAATTACAGGTGAAAAAGCAAAAACAAAATTCCATTGATCCTTAATACACAGCCATGCAAAAACCTTGGCTTTTAAAGGGCTTAGTAAAAACGGTATTGTCCAGCATATACATAACACCTTTGGTGTTCTTTCTGGGTTAGGGATAATGATTACTTTAAGAATTGTATGGAACAATGATGGCATAATGGGAGGCAGGGGGGGTTCACTTAATATGAAAGAGGTAAATTATGGTTGAACAGACTTATAATGCAAATTCCATGTTTTATTTTGATTAGAACTTGTACAATTTCCTCCATTCTTAAGGGGTTAAAGAAGGATCATAATTAAATTATAAAGGCAGGAGGTTTGAATTTTAATTTCTCAAAAAAACTAACATATTATTACTTTTAGGACACTGTAGTGGTAAATGACCGGTGGGGAAGTAACTGCTCATGCCATCATGGTGGGTACTACAACTGCGCAGATAAATACACACCCAAAACTCTACCGGATCACAAGTGGGAGAAGTGTACATCTGTGGACCACTACTCGTGGGGATACAGACGCAATATGCAAATTAACCAGATAATGGATGCGGGATCTATTATTCAAGTAAGCTGAAATGTGGCGTGTACTCAATACACTCGAAAACTAAGGCTAAAATTAGCAAACTTTGTCTGTAGATGAGTTGCAGAATTTTTTTTTTTTTGTGTGTGTGTGTATTTTGTTTAAAAAGCGATAATTTCAGCACCAGGATCTCTGTTAAGAAATACATATTCTGGGTTGTTCATCCCAAATCCTTCTTTTTCTATGCATATTTAAATCTCTTTGAGTTAAAGATACACTTAAAGCAGCATAACCACTGCAGTCCTTAATTCCTCCTGTGTTTGTTTGTCAAAATTTTTGATTGTCTCAGATGTATTCTATTTTAATATGTATTGTGTTTTTGCCTATACCAATACCAACTATGTACAGCGCTACTGATGTTTTGCTGCTATAAAATAGTATAATGGTAATAATCAAGGTGTGGATGGAGGACCACCAGACCAAGATCATGTCATGGCCACTCAAATCTCCAGATCTACCTTCCTCTTGATCAAAATTCTGAGGTTTTCAAAGTCGCACAGCAGCAGTGTGAAAGACTGGTTGAGTCTCAATGCTCAATGCATACTTTATTAGGGGTTATGAGAACAAAAGTTGACTGTTTCAGTCAGAGCAGCCTTTGACAAAGAAGCTGTGATTGCCTGAAGCGTCTTTTTTTTTTTTTTTAATGCAAGAATGATTTTAGGGGGTTTGACAGATTCTGGAGCACCAACTTTAAGGAGAGGTCTGCTATTGGTATAATGTGATAACCAGGAGTGCAGTCCTGTTTCTGTTGCATGAGCGTTGTGACTGACAATCAGGGTTTTTTCACCAAATATGGATTTCTGAACTCTTCTTAAGTTAAAACATTAGTATTGCATTGTTTTAAAGTGAATACGAACTTGTTTTCTTTACTTTATTCAAGTTATGTCTTCTATGTCTTCAATGTCTTCTGTTGTTATTTTGACCAGATGTATTTTTTTTTTTTTTTTAAATAAATGCTTTAAATGACTATATTTCTATTTTGAACTTGGGAGAAACATTGTCAGTAGTTTGTAAAATAAAACTGTTAATTTTACTCAAACACTCTACTTTAAATATTAAAACCAGAGAAACTGATGATTTTGCAGTGGTTTATTAATTTTTTCCAGAGCTGGCACTTGGCACTGCAAGAGTGGATGCATGGGTAATTTTACTTTATGCAAATGAGGAGAGGAAGAACTGGAGAAGTAGACATTTAAAGGGGGACAAAATTTGTTTTTTTGGGTGTCTAACCACCCACTCCCTCCCCCCATTCATATGTGTTTAATTTTTCTTTCTACTTTTAATGCGTTGATATCCCTCAGGAACTTGTGCAGACTGTGTGTTATGGAGGAAATTACCTTCTGAATGTGGGGCCCAGCAAGGAAGGTTTGATAATGCCCATCTTCCAGGAGAGACTGCGTGCTGTTGGAAGTTGGCTGAGCATTAATGGAGAGGCAATCTATTCTTCTAAGCCTTGGCGGGAGCAGAAGGAGAACTCAACAAACTCTGTTTGGTAAGTGAAAGCAAACTTCTGAGCTTTGCAGTGAAGTATATTTATTGATAAAACCCTACTATTAAGCTTAAAACAAAGAGTATTACAAAAACTGCTTATGGGGGGGCGGGGCCGAGCCGCCAAGCAGCATGGCAGCAGAGTAGCATGGCTCCGGGACAGAATCCTGAAAAATGCCACACAACTCACACACAATCTGCCCCAAAGCTGCAGTAGTGATACGGGGCACCACCCAAGCTACCTTACCATACCAAACCGCAGCCACAATCGCATCAGGAACACCAAAACAGACGAACCTGGCCTACACACCAGCTTGAGCCTAAACATGGGCAACCGCAGGCCAGGAACTACCACTTAAGAGCTGGACCGGAGGAACAGACATACAGGTCGAGTGGACCTCTACAGGGATCTACGCGGCGAGAGCTGCGGCCCCGCTCTGCCCCCCCCCCCCCCTGGCCAGTGGGGGTAATCCTTGCCACATGGAGGCCACACAACCCGGGCTGGACACCACCACCTGGGGAACACACGGCCCTCCTGTACAGGCACAGGCTGCCTAACCGTGGCCCGCCTGATAACAACACCTGAAATCAAGGGACGTTTATTACCCAACTGCTTATTTCAGGTCAGACTGCTGGCATTACCTTAAGAAGCTGCCCCATGGATGTGACACCCACAGGCGGAGATGGGCACTAGGGGTGATGCACGTGGGCGGAGGAGGCCAGGCGGGACGCGGCCGCGACATCCTTGGGACCCGCTGGCTGGATGCTGCGGCCCTGGGACTGTGCCTTGCTGAGAGCGAATCGCCGTCACCTCTGGGTTTTGTGGAGGGCCTGGAGGTGGCTGTCCCCGACACTGTGTGCCCTTGTGGAGTGGAGCGCGGCAGCCCCCGGCGGACCGGTGGCTGAGGGGAAGTCTGCGCCTGCCCTGAGAGGCCGGAGAAGGGTGAGACACAAGACGGCCTTCGCCTCATCCGGCAGGGGCTCCGGAGGCGCTGTGGGGGTGCAGTGGATGACTGGCGCACGGACTCTAGGTGGGGGGGTCTTGTGGGTTAGTGGGTCCCCGGGTGCCCGCTGCGCTGAGGATCCCCCGGTCGGAAGCCCGGCATGACCTGGGGGGGTGCGGCGGAAGGCTGGCGCCCCGGGGACTGGCTGCGGATGTGTCTGCAGTCTGCTCCCTCTGCTCGGAGTGTGTTGTACCTGCAGCCCGCCCGCTGTCTGGGGACTAAGATGAATACGCAGCTTATGACAAGAGACTCGGCTACACAGCAGAAGCATACGAGACTGACCATATAAGCTGACTTCCATGCTTGTCTGAAAATTTCAGAAGTTCTATAATAGTACTCTTCTGTACAAGCTGAATATTTAGGGATTCTGGCTCATGTTATTAGATAATTAGGATGTTTTAATATGAATAAGTTTATGGTTTCTTGCTTTGCATTGCCACCGGAGGCGCTTGTTCACTGATGTTCTCAATACACTTGATCCATGACATGCTTATTTTGCAATTAGCTAGACACTGCTATACTGTTACAGATATGATGTAATGTTGATGACATAATTATTTCTACTATCAATACACTTGAATCCTGACATGCTTATTTTGCAATTAGCTAGACACTGCTAGGCCGTTACAGATAGGATGCATCATTGCCTCACGGTGCCTGACTAATATACCATTTCCACCACATATGTTTACCGCACCATACTTATTGGCGGTTATTTAAGCTTAACGAAGCCCTTCATGTTGAACATGCACAGAGCTTAGCATCAGCATCTGTTCGCTCCTATATTCTCTCATCAGTTGATTCTAAACAAGTTAAGCATTATTGGTTTGTTTTTGCATATATCTATTTTTAATCCTGTTTAAAACTGAATGTGAGGTTCATGCCACAGTGCTCCAAAGGGCTGGTGTAGACCGTTATAATTAATAACACATACAAAATGAGCCTCATAACACCAGATATGACGTGGAGGAATATATGACCAGCACAAAGCGTACATATGCCTGCTGAATACTTCTGACATCTTACCTTTCACAAAGCTCAGGTTTACTCCATTTAATTAACTGCTTGTCTATTCGAATATCTATGCCTCTGTGCAGGCAACCAAATGCTATTCCTAGGAATCCGCAATAAGCCTGCTCACACTTTAAATCAGCCTCTGCGCAGGCACATATGCAACTATGTTTTTATGCAACACTGAGCCTCTGCGCAGGCAACACTCTATTGAATTCTGCTTCTCACACTATGCATGCGATTTTTACTGCAAAAACAATAAAAAACATTTTAAAACAAAAACTGCTTATGATTTGAAAAAGTCTGCGTGTGTCTGTCTGTCAGTGTCATTTCTAGGATATTTCCGCTCTATGCCTAAACCTACATAATAAGGTGCCTGGAGACTGGCAGGCTTATTCAACAAAGTGTGATTTTCAAATTTGAAGCAATAATAATTGAAATATAGCTGATTTGGATTTTCTCCAGTTATGCTGTGGTGTTGTGAAAGTTTAAATTCACTGTGAAATCCTGACAATGCACACAGTGATTAGCCCTGTAAGTCTGGAGTAACGATGACCTTAGCACTGGTTCAGTAACTGAATATTACAGAAGGTCAGAATCTAAAACAGACTTCACACCAGAGAGAGTGGCAGGTCCGGTACACTTAGAAGCAGGAAAGAGATCGACAGCCAAACAGCCTGTTTTCATTGTAACCTCAATCTACATCTCCATTCTTTCTTCGTCTACAAGTGGATAGACACAAGGTGCGTGGGTAAGAGTGAGTTTGTAGATTGCACAAACAACATTGTCTGTCCATAAGCGAGAACAGACATCTCTGAAGTAAGATCACATATATATTGAAAAATGAGACTTGCCTGTATTTGTAGAGTAAGCAAATAATCCAAGCTAACTCATAACTTTAAATTACATACTCATATACTCCAACTTTATGTTGGATCAAATAATACATAACTGTACTCTTAAAAGAACTCTCTAAGCACTATTCTTATTATTTTATAGGTACACCAGCAATGGCAATATAGTATACAGTATCTTTTTCATATGGCCCTCAGACAATGTGCTGACGCTTCCTTCCCCCAAATCAACCTCTTCCACCAAAGTAAGTATCACAAAATACTTTTAAACTGATTTTGTTCATAGTTACAACACGCAGTCCTGTTCTAGATAGCAAGTAAATAAACTCTTCTTCTGTGCCTAGAAATGAGACCATAATATAGTGATAATATATGAATCAATTTTACTTTCCACAGGTAACCTTGCTGGGGATCACTGGTTATCTTCCTTGGAAACCAGACCAAGGGCTAGGGCTGCATGTTCAGCTACCCACCATTCCTCCAGGAACGTTTCTTGTTGCCAGTGGATGGACTCTAAAACTGGAGGGTGTAAATTAAAGCTTTCTGCCATGAAAAAAGGAGGTATCATTTTGCAGTGGAAGAGTTGGCACACAACACAATCATGAATTTTGTTCAATCAGCGAATATGTTTTGAAGAGACATTGATTCTCAAATGTGTGATTAGTTCATGTTCAAGGGACGAATGAACCTGTCGTGATTAGATATATCTACCTCTTGTAACTTGAGGGCTTAAACCAAATCACTTTTTTTGGCCCTTTCTTTCAAAATCCACTTTCACTTCTTAATTGGCACCAGATGATGGTCGATATTTCACTTTTGTATATAGCACTTTTTTAGTACTAGATTTGAGTTTGCAATTTATGGTGAATTGCTGAAATGCACTATTGAACTAGGTACAATTGCCCTCTGAATATGACTGTATAATTTCATTTGTGCCTTTTGTTTAATACAAGCAGGTTGCTGGATCAATGCTCACTGCCTATATAAGATTTTCTAGTTTGTCACTTTTTGATTTATTTTGGGATATTTAGTTTTTTGTTACATTCTTCTTTTAAGAGTTTAGTAAGTGAATTCAGTTAATTTACTCACTAGATTTCTGTGCAACATTTGTATAAATGATCATGAATTTCTTTTGGTTTTTAAATGATTATACATTTTTCTTTTGAAGAAAGAAGAAAAAAAAAACAACAACTTTACAATTTTGTTTTGATGTATCTTTGTAAGCTCTTTTTTTTTTTTCTTGCACATTCATTCCCAGTGGTTAGGAGTCATTTGGAGATTAATGTATGAAATGGTTAGCCCAGTACTGCCACCTACTCCATCCCCCAAGTTTTGAAGATTTCAGATCTGCAGTAAGCCCATTTTATAGCCCATTAAATATCCTGTGTCAAATCCCCTTACCACAAAAATATCCATTTGTCCAATGCCAAGGGGAATGCAATCTTTCCATTGTCAAATCCTAGCATATTAATGATTTCACCTACCTACCACACTGTTATATAGGGATGACAGGTCAATCATTCTGTACACCCTTCATTTTTTTTTTTTCTCATTTAAATTGACTTGTTTGGTACACTCGAAGTGGTGGAAATCCCTCAACTCCCATTAATTCCGCAAAGGAAATGTGCGTTAAGTTTCTGGAGACCCATTATCTAAAAATTATTTCTGTAGCGAACACCATTTTAGTTTTCCCCTGTGGGAATACCCCTGAAAATAGTCCTTACTATGAAGATATTTGGACTTCATGGAGAAAACAATTAGATACAACTCAAAATGAATCAACAGATATAGAGATCGATCTCTCTCTCTCTCTCTCCTAACCCCCCCATGTGGAGTGACATCAGGTTCACAGTTGACATAACAGCACATTGTATAACACAAAAGAGAAACATATATACAACATTGAAAAGCTTATCCAGCAATATTAAATCAAGGCCAAACCTATTCCAAACGCTATAGTGTTGTAGTCCCTGTTTAGATTCAGGCCACTCCCAACTGCAATAAAATGGGGGAGAAGCATGTTACTTACTTTTTTTTTTTTTTTTGCCAGGACTGATACTCACTTTGCTGCCACCCACTCCTTGTCCCACAACTTCATCCAAGAGGCATCACTTCATTACCTTCTTGCTCGTTCCGGCATCTGTCCAATGACATGCTCACAGGAGCAGCAGTTGATGACATTTGATGTTCATTTTACAAAAACTCTTGGCACAAAAAGTACTAATTTATTAGTTGGAAAGGCAACTTAAGGGGTTAACCCAGGGCTTGACAAATTTGTTTAGAATATAGGAGCCAGCTAAAAAAGTTAGGAGCCAGTAATTTTCAACGAGAGAGTGCAATTCTTAAAGGGACACTATAGTCACCAGAACCACTACAGCTTGATGCAGTAGTTCTGGTGTCTATAGCCTGTCCCTGCAGGCATTTTAGTGTAAACACTGCCTTTTCAGCGAAAAGGCAGAGTTTACATTGCTGCTTACTAACACCTTTAATGACTGTCACTCGAGAGTCCTGGGTCACTGCTGCACCGCGTGCAGCACCCATGTTCAGTGTCTCCAAGCTCTGCATGGAGGCGCTGAATGTTCCTCATAGAGATTGGTTAATGTAATGCATCTCTATGAGGAGATGCGGATTGGTACATTTGCTGCGCATGCACAAAATCCTCCCAATGCTTTCCTAAGGGAAAGCATTGCCTTAGCTGAGATCATAAAGATTGATCATCTCAGCCATGGCAAAACTGGCACGGCATGGGAAGAAAGGTGAGTAAAAACACCTTCCTCAAGCAATCGGCGGGGGCAGGTACCTAAACACGCACGCACGCACTGACTGGCTCTCTCTCTCACACACACATGCTGACAACAGGCTTGCACGCACACACACTGACAGGCGCGCACACACACACACTCTTGACAGGCTCTCGCTCACACACACATACAGACACTCTACCAGGCTCTCTCGCTCACACACATACAGATACTGACAAGCTCTCTCTCTCACACACTCTGACAGCCTCGCTCACTGACAGCACACACACACAGACACACACAGTCTGACAGGCTCTCTCACACACAGACACAAATTTTTGTTTGAATTGAAACCCACTCAGTCTCCCTACCTTTGGGAGAGCTGAGTGAGTCTTTCCTGGGGTCCAGTGGGGCTGCACTCTTCCTGTGTGCGAAGGAGCAGTACTCTGCCTGTAGCTCCTCTCTGCTTCCTCGCGCTCTGTAATGATGCCGGGGCCGGAATGACGTCATATTCCGGCTCCCGACATCATTACACAGCTTGAGAGCAGATGCAAACAGAGTACTGCTCCCTCGCGTGCTGCCCATAATGCTCGGGAGGCCGCCTCCATGTACCCGCGTCAAAGCTCCCTCCCACACTAATTAGAAAGCTGGCAAATCCCAGATGCCAGGGCGAACATTCTAGTCGCCATGGCGATCTGGCGCCTGGGATTTGTCGAGCCCTGGGTTAACTCATATACATGAACATAGAAAACAAACAGAAGTTGCCAAAAAAAAAGGACACTCATGAATAAATTGACTTAAAAACACCTTTATTTAAATGATCATGAGAACATAAGTGAAAAAAGACAAAATAAGTAAGTGACGGTGTTAGACATGAAAATATACACACAGGTCATGCTTGAAGGTATAGGAACTTATTATATGATATACAAGCCAATGTTAATATACAGTACATTACATTTATCATGGTATCAACCCAGGTATTCATAGATGAGTCTAGTATATCCTGGCTTAAAGGAACTCTAGAGGGTTAGGAATAAAATCATGTATTCCTAACAATATAGTGTTTCCCTACCTATGTAAGTGTCTATCCCCCTAATGGGGTTAAAAATGTAAGATTTGCCTATCTTAAACAGACATAATAGACACCAAACCAACTTTAGCTTAATATAGCAGATTTAGTGTATAGATCATGCCTCTGCAGTCTCACTGCTTAATTCTCTTTCATTTAGAAATTAAATCACTTTGTTTATACAGCCCTAGTCACACCTTCCTGATTTACACAGCCTTCCTAAACACGTCCTTTAACATGAGATATAATGTTTATACTTCCTTTATTGCAAACTCTGTTTAATTTACAATTTCGTATCTTCTGCTCTGTTAATAGCTTGCTAGATCTCACTGGAGCTTCCTGTGTGTAGCAGGAGACAAACACTTTTAAACTCAACATATGACTCAATGCTCATGGCTAGGCTCCACCCCCCCTACGTATAGATTTTTTTATTATATAACATATATAAAAATATTTCACAGTTCAAAATATTAAATCATTTGAAAAGGGCTTGGCCTCCAGACAACTACCATATATACTCAAGTATAAGTCTAGTTTTTCAGCACATTATTTGACTTATACTCGAGTCAGTGTCTGTATTATGGCAACTTACATTGCCGTAATACAGACCAGGACCGCCGGGCTCATTACAAGCCCGGCGGTCCTGTTGGGGGCTGACAGATAGCTGTTACTTACCTTCCTGCTGCTCCTGTCAGCTCCCTTCTCCTCCACTGTAAGTCTCGCGGTGTGACTACCGCGCGGATAACCCGTGGCAACGCTCTGACCCCGCGGCTCTCGCGAGACTTACAGTGGAGCTGACAGGAGCTGCAGGAAAGGTAACAGCTCTCTGCCAGCCCCCCTCCTACACAGCCCATCTAATGGACCACCAGGGAATGAGAGCCCCCCTCCCTGGCCAGCTAACAAGCAGGGAGGGGGGACGAAAATAAAAATTAAATAATAAAAAAAAAATATTACAATAAAAAAATGTAAATATTAAAATTAAAAAAGTAAATAAATAATAAAATAAAAAAATTAAAATATAAAAATTTTAAAAATTAAAAATAATAAAAATGCCCTCCCCCACCCAGTTCACACACAAACACACTCATACAAACACACACTCTGCATTATATACACACACTCTGCATTCACACAAACACACACACTCTGCATTATATAATGCAGAGTGTGTGTTTGTATGAGTGTGTCCGTATATAATGCAGAGTGTGTTTGTATGAGTGTGTGTGTGTGTGTATAATGCAGATTGTATGAGTGTGTGTGTGTATAATGCAGTGTGTTTTTGTATGAGTGTGTGTGTATAATGCAGAGTGTGTGTGTGTGTGTGTGTGTAAATTGCAGAGTGTGTGTTTGTATGAGTGTGTGTATATAATTATAAAAATCACAGAATTTCATAGCCCCAAGTTTTACCCTCGACTTATCCACGAGGCATAGCATATTTCACAATTGTTGGTCACAAAACTGCACTGACTTATACATGAGTATGTACGGTACATAAAAATATATAATGTGTGGTGTATTTAAGCAGGTTGTATGTGTGTGGTGTGTGCTGCCTGTATGAGAAATGTGTATGTGATGTGTTCTGGCTGTGGTAGTGCTCTTTGTAGCCCCCTTCCTGCTTGGGATTTGCAGGAAGGGGGCTATGATTTCTGGTGGTCCAATGGATTACTCTAGTTATGCTCCCTGGCAGTCCAGCAGGGGTTAACTTGGTGGTCAAATGGAGCACCGCGAGCCACTGATGCAGACTATACCGGTAGTAATCACTCCCCCACCCTAGGAGTTTAGAGTGTCAGAGTGCATGCTGGGAATATCCAGTGGCTGCGCTTTGACTCACTAGGAGCGTCGAACTGCAAGTATGTGATTACTGAGGTTTGCAGATGTCACACGACTTGCCGCAGCAGCAATCCTCCTCCAGGGCAAAAAGGTAATACAACTGCCTGGTCTGCAGCTGGAAGTGCATGTCCCAGGCGCTTGGGCAGTATAATTTCCACATCTATGAATATGCTGATAATCTGCAATATCTCCTGACATGCAGTAGGATATTAATTCATGATCTCCTGCATCTTGAAGGGAGTGCCAATCTTCATTACATAAGGATCCTTGTCTGGGACGCACAACAGTAGGCAATAAAACTAAAGTAAAATAAAGTAAACAAAATGAGACTTGCAGTCCGCAGTATGAGGAGCATTTTCGGTTATAACAGGACCTGATAAGAGGTTCAGTATAGGGTAAAATAGTGCGCACAGGTCCAAAAGTGGGTCATCATAAGCACAACAAATCTAGCGATTACATCGACAAACTTTGTGGCTGCTTGTATACCACCTGCATAATGTTCACAGGTTGTGTCATCTCTAGTCACCTTCCCCATCCACTAGTTGGCACTCTCTCTTATCATATAGGGTTGTCTTTCGATAACTCCAACTCCCTCATCACACCAGGAAGTCTATCTTCTTTAGACTGGGCATAGACCGAAGGACTTAAAACAAGGTGGGGTTATTCACAGTGTAATAAAGATCATGAACCCTACCAACTGCGGAGCAGAGTGAAGTTTGACTACCCCATCTATAATGACCAAACAGAAATATTTAAGAGGGATAAGTGAGAGAAAAAAAAATACATAACATTTTATAGTCACCATTTTAAAGTATGCATATGTATGTCTTCCAAACATCATTTAACCCTAGAAGGGAATTTTCCAGCAAAGGTTTTTTAGTAATAGGTATTATACTTTTGGACATCCACATTTTTTTAAAAGAAGACCAAATTGCTTGTTGGACAAAATAAAAGTGAACCTGGCACATAGGTGGGGACTCATAAATAAAATGAATGAGGGGACATAGTTGTCCCCAGCCACCACCCATTGGTGGTTGGTGGGGGCCATAAATAATAATGTCGGTGGACCAATTGTCCTCCCATGTACCCCGCCCAGTGACGGTGGGTGGGGGACCTTAATAATAATTGTGGCTAATAAACTGCCCCGTGCAATTTTACTCCACATGCTCTGATTGGTTGTCTTAAAGGGACAATATAGGCACCCACACTACTTCAAGTCATTGAAATGATATGGGTTCAGAGTCCCAGTCCCACTTCGTCCTGCAATATAAATCATTGTATTATCTGAGAAATTGCAATAATAATATTGCAAGACTAAGACTGCCTCTAGTGGCTGTCAATCAGACAGCCACTAGAGGCACTTCCTGGTGGCTGACTTTTTGTCACTATGTATGAGGACATCCAACGTTAGTTATATCCCCAGGAGCGCCGACCCAGTGCTGAGGGACACACACCAGCCTCAGCCTCAGCCTGCAGCACTCCCAAGCAAGCCACACACCAGGCTCAGCCTGCAGCACTCCAAGCAAGCCATCCTCCTGCTGACAAAAGCTATGCTGTATGTATCTGATTTGTACTGTGTGTGTATCTGATTTTACCACAGAGAGGGAGGCTGTGACATAGGATGAGCGTGGAATCCAGAAAGGGGAACTTTGCCCAGCACTGGATGCCAGGTAAGTTTATACTTTATGCAATAGGGCTTTAAGGGGCAAATAGGGCATTTTACATAAATCATTAAAGGGGTTAGAGTAAACTTTTAACGCAAAGCTGATTTTACACACTGTGAAAATGTTCTTGCTGCTGCTGTCTCTCTAACAGTGTGACATGTCCCCTTGCTGCTACACTCGCTACATCCATCTCTTTCTCTGTCCCAGACTGCACACTGCTAGTAAGAAGGGAAGGAGAGGAGTAAACAAGTGAGTCCTGAGAAGAAAGAATTAAGAGTTTGTGATTGTTGATAGAGAGGAGCTGAGAGCTGTGGGGCATGCAGACTGGACAGATTGACTGGGTTTAGAAATAAAAGCGAGAGATTAGCATTAGGTATAGTTATTCTTATAAATGCATATTGTAAGTGTCCATTTAGCACCATCTCCATCCGATACTAGACACGTGGGAGGTCTGACTGGTTCAGTACTTTCTGTAATTAGTAATACTTGTCAACACCAAAAGGTTATTAATTTAAATTTAGGGCACATCATCCCAGCATGCATAAGACAACGTGTATGTCCACAAAGAAGGCACATCATCCCAGCATGCATACACACCAGTGTGACAGACTGTCAAAGTAGCTCATCAACTGTGCGCTCCTGTATCATGTATGGGCTTAAATGCCCTGAATTAAACATGCGCTAGAGCTACATTTTCATACTAACTGAGTGACAAACCCAAGCTGATCTGGTGTACTAGGGGCAAATCAGGTATTGTGACGGGATCTCAGCTAGGCCCGAACTTTAGTTGGCCTAAAATCTACACATGGCATATACAAGTACACATAGCTAGAATACGGTCATCAATGTACTGAGCATGTGCCAGATTTGAAAAACCACATTCTACTCTCCTAGTGCCATACTGCCTACCCATATTAGGTAATGCTGTAAATACTGTTTGTTGATTGGTGTAAGAGTACAGATGGGGGAAGAATGGCTGATAAAAAGCCTGTACTCCATGTGCTCATTGCTCAGACATTTTGGACATGAGTTCAGCTGAGATCTGATCGTGAATATAAAGACCTTTGCTTCCTGAAGTGACCTGTGTTCGGACTCTGTGCGTGGCTTCTTCAAAATTCTCCTATAACATATCTGGTGCTATTGGCCAGGAAATCATCACAGAGACCCCCGAGATGGTGATATTTAACCCACCTCTCCAGGGCAACACCCCTAAACCAATACTGCTTTGACTTCCTTTTGTCTCGCCGCCACTGGGCCTTCTTCATCCAGGAGACCATTGGCTTCTGCGCAGTGAGTAATGGGATGTCACGTTGATGAATTCCGACCCTGGGTCCAGGAACTGAAGGTAAACCCACTAGGGGTTAAATCTGTATCTGCTATCTGACCTTTTTTAATTGGAAAGAAGAGGGGGCTGACCACCTCCTTAAGCTAAACGCTCTGTAGCTAGCCTATTTAGCATACGATCTGTTTGGCTGAATTCTGGTGTAAATATATTGTCATATGTTGTTCCGTTCACTAGATCACGGATTCTGGAGCGAGTAGACTAGCTGAATTCTGTTGTAAATTCTGTGAGAATCTTTTCGGTTTCCAAATATATGGTACAGGGACAGACCCAGGAGCCATCCTATATATAGGCCTTGAAACTGAGACCCTGAATCTCCAAACTCATCAGGTATTCCATTCCTTTTATGAGGAGATGAGTGTTGAAGATTAAGTCCCTCACACTGATCTGGCTGCGAGTATTGCAAGTAGTCTTAATATAACTAACTGCTTTGTATGTGGAGGTACAAATATAGGAGACCGATGGCCATGGGAAGTGAGAGAAGTATGGTACCCTGGTTCTGAGACAAATAAGCAACAGATGTCTTCCCATTACAGTAATCAAGCAACCATACAGGAAAAATCGGAATGGCAACTAAAAACATCCATAATCAGTCATGTATGCTTAGCTAGGGCAGGCCCAATATATAAAACACCTGTAGGCGAGTTGGTTTGTCTATGGCAGAAAGCATATAATGCTAGTAGCCATAATACTAACTGGTGGTCAGCTTCAAATGTCTCAGAACCTACCAACCCTTTTGTTAATTACACCATTTTAAGAGAGGTATGGTTTGATCTATCGGCTACATCTAACTGGAGAGCCCCTGAAAATTTATACTGGATTTGTGTTAAGAAGATGTATTCAGAATTACCACAAGATTGGGCGGGGCATGTGTGCAAGTTATACTCAAACCATCCTTCTTCTTGTTGCCAATCCAAACAGGAGAGACCTTGGTAAAGGTCTATGATGTAAACCATAGGAAGAAGCGAGCACCATTAAATATAGGTAATTGGGAAGATGATGAATGGTCACCCCAGCAAATTATTAATCACTATGGACCTGCTACTTGGGCTGAAAATGGTACTTATGGTTACCGAACCCCCATATGCATGCTCAACCACATTATAAGATTACAGGCGGTGGTTGAGATCATAACCAGTGAGAAAATTAAAGTACTTAATCTCCTGGGAAAACAGAATACCCGTATGAGGTCAGCCATTTACCCTTGACTATTTATTAGCGGTAGAAGGAGGTGTGTGCGGAAAATTTTATCTCAGTAATTGCAGTCTGTATATAGATGACGAATGGCAAGCTGTGGTTGACCTAACAAGCCACATGGTTAAATTAACGCACTTCTTACTCAGATCTGGAACAGGTATAATCCATGTAGTTTGTTTGGAAGCTGTTTGGAGGGTTAAAGGCACTGGTAGGAGGAGTGGTATTTATTATTATCTTATACTTTTACTACGCTGCTTGATTCCATTAAGAATTCGGTCCATACGTAGTGTTATTGAGAGCACTATAGAAAGGAAGACAGCAGCTCATGTAATGGCCATCTTGGGATATGAACCTTTAGCTCCGAGAGAAAAAAATTTAAATCAGGTCGATGAGTTCTGAGAACTCATAAGATTCAGCTAGAATGCTCACATAGTTTCTCCTGTTTTATAAGTACCTGAGTGGTATTGGCATAGTATGGTAAGTGATGCATTTGGAGTACTCAGTATCAGAAGCATCAAAGGGCGAATGTGGCGGGATCTCAGCTAGGCCCGAAATTTAGTAGGCCTAAAATCTACACATGGCATATACAAGTACACGTAGCTAGGATACTGTCATCAACGTACTGAGCATGTGCCAGATTTGAAAAACCACATTCCATTCTCCTAGTGCCATACTGCCTATCCATATAAGGTAATGCTGTAAATACTGTTTGTTGATTGGTGTAATGGTACAGGTAGGGGATGAATAGCTTATAAAAAGCCTGTACTCCATGTGCTCATTGCTCAGACATTTTGGACATGAGTTCAGCTGAGACCCGATCGGTGAAAATAAAGACCTTTGCTTCCTGAACTGACCTGTGTCCGGACTCTCTGTGCGTGGCTTCTTCAGAATTCTCCTATAACTGTGTCACGCAACACCAACATGTGACTTGACAGGTCTGTTCTAGTTAGTGAAAAACAAGTAGAATGTTGTTTCTAGGTAGTCTGTTGAGCACCTGCATGTTTAGAAGAAATGTTACCCTTTGTACTACAAAGTTTTTGTCACAAATCATGGGGTAACTTCTAAGAGAATATGTATTCACGAGTCACTTCCTTGTTAACACTTTGAGAACTAGAGGGGTGAGAAGTGAACTGATGCACTACCCAGGAAATACAATTTGTGGTTTTCTATTTGAGGAAGTTATGAATACTTAATGTAGAGTTGATAATATCTATACACGAGGCTAGTGGTAAAAATTTATTTTTCTTTACTTAAGTGGAAAACATTAAACGTGTAAATAATAAAACTTTAATTTTTGAACTTAATAGGTAAGTTCATGTTTTCTTTACAAAGACAACACAAAACTCTGGATGTAGACAAGGGAGTGTGTAAAAAAATTCAACAAGGACAGCTTCTAGATTCTTAAACATCATGGAAAATCACACTATCACATGCAATTAATTTATAATTAACACATATATAACCAATTCTTTGTTTAAAAGGCATCATTTAGCAAGGCTGTATAATAGGGTTCCAGTCTGCAACATGTACAATGTTGGGAGCTCTCCACAAATAAATAAACTAGTTTTTGAAAGTTGTAATTCATGATGTGGCTTCTGTGGGTAAATATATATGCATGGGAACATTTCCTGGCCGGAAAGAGGGTTAGAGATTCAGCTACATCATGTCCTGCCGTGACTTGCTGCAGGCAGAGTTTTGAGATTTGTACATATAAGACTTTTTTCTGTGCTCCACACAAAGTAAGGTATGATCCACCGAAATGGAGACAGTCACCAAATTTTAATTTATTCATTAATAGAGGCACAGAAAGGATCCATTCTCAGCATGTGTCCTTAGACATAATTTGTCAGTTGTGTGATCTTTAATTACCAATCAGCAGTATTCAGAATAATCATCTTCTACATAGTTTGATGGAAACCACCCAACCTGCATAGAAAATAAACGTAAAATGTAAATCATACAAAGAGGACTCTGATAACTGAGGTCTATTCACTAAATTGGATATTATGGGGAACTGAACAAATACAATTTGAATATGAAATTCTTTCATTTTAATGTTTTTTTTCTTTAAATGTAGATAATCCCTCTTCTGACTTCCTTGTTTCTTTTTGTCTATTGTATACACACATATGTCTTCTATATCCACACTCATTGCAAGATTTTTGTTAAAAATTTTTTTCTTAAATTCTTTATTGTTGGTTTTCTGGTCAGGCTATCATAAAAAAAAAAAACAAGGAAACATTATAGAACAGTGAACAATTCAGGTCCCAGGGGCACAACCCTTTTGTGTGCTTATAGGTAATACAGTAGCGAAAACATTTGCAACAGTTTGTGTTTATACAAAGTAGGAGACCTGTAGGTTGCTGTTTACGCCACCTGTTGTGTGGCCCAACATGCTTTCTCGTGATTTTCCCTGGGTGTGTGACCTCTATTACATTTTGTGTCCACACGTCTGTGTGAGCTCTCCCTCCCCAGGTGCCTGCCCGCCGCTGGGCCCTTTTTATCCTGCGAGGGCTACCGGTGCCCCGGTTGCAGGGGAGGCCTTGGCTATCCATCACTGGGTTTGCTTGTCTGCTCTGGAACTGTGAGTCGCCTGTCTCAAGTGGTTTGCAGTTTCCATTGGGTGTTTGTCGTATCAAGGTTTCGGTCGTGAGTATAACTTTTCTATTGTATGCTGTCCCATTGGTGTGCAAGATTATTTTTAAATTCTCTTTAATAAAAACTTTAATTACAAAAACCTAGGTAATACACCCCTATAATAATTAGAGGTAGAGGGACAATGGGCAGAGTGAGAAAATACAACACCGCTATCTGGGAGGGTTAGGCAACACCTACTGAAAGGTTGGTTATCTGGGTGGGGTACCTTAAAGGGGATTCACATTCTTTCTCACCATGAGTATATATTGAGGAATTGGGTGTACAGCACTTAGTACTGGGGGTCTATGCATTTTAATTTTTTTTTTAAAAGTATTTAAGCCAATGGAACTCCTGGCCCACCTAATTATAAATATTGTATCTACATCCATTCATACCATTGCATGGAGAGGATTGGAGGTAGTATAATGTGGTATTATACCGCCTGGTTATTAACTTTCACTCCCCTTTGTACTCCCTCAGGCATTCCCGAGTGTGCCCATGTGACCCACATTTGATTTTTATTTTTTGGGGAGAAAGAGACACCATATTGGATCCTCTGAACTTACTTAAAGGGACACTATAGTCACCAGAACAACTACAGCTTATTGCATTTGTTCTGGTGAGCAGAATCATTCCCTGCAGACTTTTTTCTGTAGACACTGTCTTTTCAGAGAAAATGCAGTGTTTTCATTACAGCCTAGGGATAACTCCACTGGCCACTCCTTAGATTTCTGCTAAAGCTGCTTCCTTGGGCTGTGCTGCACAATGTGCAGTACTACCATTCAGTGTCTCCACCCTCTGCATGCAGACACTGAACTCTCCTCATAGAGATGCACTGATTCAATTAATCTCTATGAGGGGATGCTGATTGGTCAGGGCTGTGTTTGACTTGTGCTGGCTCTGCCCTTTATTTGCCCCCTTGACTGTCTTAGCCAATCCTATGGGGAAGCATTGTTATTTGCTCAGATCACCACTTTTGATGATGTCAGCAGACAGCAGGCAGTTTCAGAGGCAGACAAGGGTAGAGCCAGCAGATGCAGACTTGAATACAAGTAAGATTTTACTATATTTAGGGAGGAAAGAGGGGGCATGGGTGGAAGACTGGGGGTGGGAGATGTTGTCTTTAACACTATAGGGTCAGGAATACATGTTTGTATTCCTTTAAGGATTCTGGAGATATGCCTTTGTTTTTTATTCAAAGAGGGAATCAAATAAAATCCTATGGAATCCCAATACATTTCCATCTGCCTTGCCCTAATGATGGAGTGGGCATGAGAAATTATTAGCAGGGCCCCACAACTATCATGTTTGCTTGCCTGGTACCTGCTAGTCCACTCTAGTGTAGAAGCATTATAATTGTATGGAAATAAGATATTTGCAGTTTCTCACCTTGCCATATACTTCTCCTTTCCACCAGCCTTGATGTCCTTTCTTGCTTAGGATCCTGATCACATCTCCCTCCTTCAAAGACAGTTCTGTTCTATCTCTTGCACAGAAATCATACCGTGCTCGGGCTGACCCAAAATATTTCATCTTATCTGTGAAGACAAGTGAGAAAAAACTCCTGCATTAAAAGTTGTGATTTTAATCAATGTACGGGGTTATTCACCAAAGTAAGAATTGCCGGGAATGCAAAGTGAATTCCAAGTAAATTTAAAATTTAAGTCCAAAATAGTCAAACTGGAAACAAAAAAGATACAAGTGGAGTTTAGTGGAGCTACCCAATGGCCCTCTAACTTGTTGCCCTTGTGTTTGATTGCCATAATTATACGATACCAAACGAGGGCGCAGGCAGATCTATTATTTGATATCCTTAAATATGTCAATCCACATAAAGGTATCAAATTAGGAAACTATGGCATTTCTTAATTTTGATCTTTTGGCTGTTTAGTAGATAATTTGGTATCCTTTCATTTCCGACACAAGCATAGCAAATTAGGAGAGTTATCTGCTAAACTGCTGAAAGATCAAAATTAAGAAATATCCCTTTCTAAATTTTGATATATCAGCTGTTTAGCATATAACTTCCTAATTTGCTATCCTTGTGTGGGATTGACATATTTAAGGATATCAGCAGTTATCTAGGGTTAATTCAGCTAATTCTCCAGGGTAAATTACTTGATTATTCTGGAGGAAGGCAGACCCCCCAGTTTTCGGATTTTGACAGGACAGTACAAAATTCTGGCAATTGTCCTGACATTCAGATGTAGTTCCCTGTCTGGCAGCACAGAGTGAGTGCATCATTAGATCTAGGAGCCCAGGAGCCCCTTCAGTCCCCTCTCAGGCCCAAGGAAGGTATGTACATTACTCCAAATTTTTATTCTGTTGCCAGCCAACATGCTAAAATATTCTTAATTTGTGAATTTATTTGAACAGTTATGATAATGTGTAGCGGGACCAGGGTAACCTGGCTGGTTATCCCCTTTGGTTAGAGTAGGTCAAAACCATTTCCCCAGTAACAGGATAGGACACAATTCCAGGGTACAACGTTTGACAATGTTTATTGGGCACACAGTTTTTTATGCACAGACCCCCGCAGGGGGTCTCTAGCCAGCCTAGCACAACCACACATACAGGAGGGGGCTGGGGAACTGATAACCATCTCCCGCTCTGGGAGATGCTAACAGGAACAGGGACACGCATGAGTACACTTCACATACAGGGGGGTGAACTTTGGGTTCTGCGCCCCTGGACG